ATGTTCTTGATGTCATCCCACAACTCTTCTGTTCTTCGGTCTTTAGTGTTTAATGCATCAAATCTGTTCTTCAGATGGTCTCTAAATTCAGGTAGGATAAATTCAAGGTCATATTTTGGCTCTCGTGGACTTGTTTGCATTTTCTTCAGTTTCAGTTTGAATTGGCATATCAATAATTGATGGTCTGTTCCACAGTCTGCCCCTGGCCTTGTTTTCACTGATGATAATGGAGCTTTTCCATCTTGTCTTTCCACAGATGTAGTCAATTTAATTTCTATGTGTTCCATCTGGCGAGGTCCAAGTATATAGTCATCTGTTATGCTGTCTAAAGAAGGTATTTGAAATAAACAAATAATTTGTCTTGCAGAAATCTATCATTCGTTCTCTAGCATCATTTCTATCACCAAGTCCAAATTTTCCAACTATTGGTCCTTCCTTTTTGCTCCCTATTTTGCATTACAGTCACCAGTAACGACCCTGTATAGGGTTTTTGAGGAGCAGCTGGTGGGTTTGAGCCATTGACCTTGTGGGTCGAAGTCCAGTGCTAATCCTACAGCATCACACCAATCGTCCTTACACTAAATGCTTAAGGAATTCCAATCCTTCAAAAACACTTTCAGAAACACTGGAGAAGGCAATACTTCCTAATTCATTTTATAAAATCAATATTATTCTAATGCCCAAACCAGAAAAAGGCATCATACAAAACAAAAACTACAGATCAATGTTGTTGTTGTTAAGTGTCGTCGAGTTGCTTCCAATTCACAGCGATCTTGTTTAGGGCATCTGAGGAGTGGCTGGTGGGTTTGAGTCACTGACCTTGCAGTTCAAACCAACCTAGCTGCCCAGTGCATTATCTCATAGCACCACACCAGGACACCTACAGACCAATATTCCACATAAATTGTTGTTGTTGTTGTTATGCCCTCAAGTCCCTTCTGACTTAGGTTGTTCTTAGGTGCCATTGAGTGGGTACCGACTCACAGTCACCCTATGCACAACAGACTGAAACACTGCCTGGTCCTGGGATAGCCTCACAATTGTTGCCATGCTTGAGCCCACTGATGCTGCCACTTTGCCAATCCATCTTGATGGGGGTCTTCCTCTTTTTTTATGACCCTCCATCCTACCAAACATGATATCCTTCTCCAGAGACTGGTCCCTCCTGACAATATGTCCAAAGTATGAGAGATGAAGTTTTGCCATCCTGGTCTCCAAGAAGCACTTGGCTGCACTTCTTCCAACATGGATCTATTGGTTCTTTTGGCAGCCCATGGCACGTTCAATATTCTTCTCCAACACCATAACTCAAATGCTTCAATTCTTCTATGGCTTTCCTTATTCATTTTCCAGCTTTCACATGCATATGAGGTTACTGAAAATACCATGGCTTGGGTCAGGTGCACTTTAGTCCTCAAGCTGACAGCTTTGCTCTTTAACAGTTTAAAAAGATCTTGTGCAGAAGATTTGCCTAATGCAATATGTCGTTTGATTTCTTGACTGCTGCTTCTATGAGTGTTGATAGTTGATCCAAAAAGAATGAAGTCCTTGAGAACGTCACTCTTTTCTCTGTTGATAAGAATGTTGTTTATTGGTCCAGTGGTGAGGATTTTTGTTTTCTTTACATTGAGATGCAATCCGTACCAAAGGCTGTGCTCTTTGATCTTCATCAGTAAGTGTTTTAAGTCCTCTTCACTTGCAGCAAGCAAGGTTGTATCATCTGCAAATTGCAGGCTGTTAATGAGTCTTCCTCCAATCCTGATGCCACAGTTTTCTTCATATAATCCAGTGACCCTATATAGAGTTTCCAAGTAGCAGCAGGTGGGTTTTAACTATCAACCTTGTGGTTAAGCAGTTCAGTACAGCACCACACCAGGACTCCCATATGAATATGCTGTTGTTGTTGTGAAGAGCTGTTAAGTCGATTCCGACCCATAGTGACCCTGTATAGGGTTTCCAAGGAGTAGCTGGTGAGCTTGAACTGCTGACCTTGCAGTTCAAAGGGCTTTGCAGTCTGGCGCACTGACGCATAGTGCCACATAGATACTAAAATTCCCAACAAAATATTAGCAAACTGAATTTATAAATATATAAAAGAGATGATACAGCAAAAATATAGTCATATTCTGAGTAATTATTACATGCAACCATCTTACCACTAGCATTCCCCCACTGTCTGACCCATGGTTTCTTAAATAATTAAGAAGATAACTACATTAATGAAAAGAAAATGATAGAATCAAAGTTCTATGCCTACATTTAATTTATACTGACTTCTACCTTAAAAGAAAAGTGTGGAAGCAAATATTAAAAAAAAAACCAAACACACCAAGACCACACACAAGAAAGATAGCTACCTGGTGGGCCTAGGAATCCGGAATTTCCTGGGTATCCTTTTTGACCAGGTGGTCCCATCTCACCTTGATGACCTGGTATTCCTGGAGGGCCAGGTTCTCCAGGAAGTCCTGATCTATCCAAGCCGGGAATACCTGGGTCTCCTTTGGGACCTGTTTCACCTTGTCTTCCTATATATGAATGAATGAATGAGTTAGCAACCCAATGCTTTCCCCTCACCAACTCCAGAAATATTTTATGGGTGTAAATACTTAGCTGTGTGATTCTGGGGCAAACCACATAGTAATTAATATGCAATTAATTAATTACTCTTATATAATCTCTACAATCTCTCTGACTCTAATAGTCATTGTTTCAATAATTCATGCAGAAATATAAGCAGAGCATTTCTATCTCTTCTATTATCCTGCATGTGCATTCTGGGATTAAACTTTATTGTTGAATCTATTGAAGACACAAAGAACCTCTGATTCACATGAAGCTGAGCTGCTGGAAACATCTGTTAAATAGCACCAATACAACAACTAAATTCTTGGCCAAATTTTGTGTCTATATCCCAGAGACATTCACCCAGCTCTAAAGGATTTGTTCCCTGCAACAGTTCGGTCACAAGATCTGGTTGAGAGGTGCCAAAAAACGGTACATTTCTCATGATCCTAAATTCAGATTTAGTTTATGAATAAATCTCTTTATGACTTTTTTCTAAAGCTTTTTATTGTGAGCTTAGTGAAGATTCACAGAGCAGATTATCAGTTTAACATTTAAAAAGTCATACACTTCATTTCCTCTCAAGGATTGCAAACCTTCCACGTAACAACAATTCTCCCTGGGGTTCCTAATTCCACTCCACCTCCTTCCCAACCCTTCTAAACTTTGTCCTTAGGTAAATGTTGCCCTTTTGATCTTGAATCATTGCCCATTCCAATACTAGTATTGTTATCTCCCTTTATGAATCAGGCTGTGAACCTCAAGGTCAGCAGTTCGTAACTATCAGCTGTTCTGTGCGAGAAAGATGAGGCTTTCTGCTCCCGTAAAGATTTACAGCATCGGAAACCCTGTTCAAGGTCACTATGAGTCACAACCAACTCCACGGCACAAAACCACCACCACCACCTCTTCACTAAAAATGGGCTGGGAGAATGAGAGCCAATCCAATTTGAAGGGTGGCCAAGAGCTATGATCTTCAGTTCCTCTAATCTCTTTATGACCAGTAAGCCCCGACTTTTAAAACAGATTATTTTGAGTTTTGTTCCACATTTTCTCCCACTCTATCTGGACCCTTCTGATGTGATCCCTTTCAGAGCTGTTGGTTGCAATAACTAGGCAACATCTTGTTCTTCTGGTCTCCGAGTCGTGGAGACTGTTGCTCAAAGAATCATGGAATACCATCAGGGATCCATTGGACTAATTGATTCCAAAGGTCTTTCATTTCTATCACTCTTCTTTCTTCCACCCATGGAGAGACCAATAGTTGCACCTTAGATGGCTGCTCATGAACTTTTAAGATCCCAGACTCTACTCACTAAAGTAGGATATAGAGCATTGCCTTTGTGGACTATGTTATGCCAATTGCCCATGGTGTCCTATGAGACGATGGTTTATGGCCATTTAAAAAAAGTGATCTCTAAAACAATCAACTACTAATTTTAGTTTATAATGAGTTATCTTTGCATATGTTTATTCTTTCATTTTAATAAACTTCTGGAAGTATTAAAAGCAAAACCTGTTCTGACGATGATGCAATGGTTAAGTGCTGTTAACTGAAAAATTGGTGGTTCAAACCCACCAGCTGTTTCACAAGACAAAAGACTTGCTTATGTGCTCCTTTAAAGGATTACAGTCTAGGACATTCTATGGGGCAGTTCTAGTCTACCCTGTAGGGTTGCTAGGAGTCAGCGTTGACTTAATGACACATAACAACAGCAATATATACTCATACATATTTATCATTAGTGTTCAGATTGTCTTACATAAAAGACACAAATCAACTTGCCAAACCAATTTCAGGTCTCTTCTTCTATAGACGGTGTTGTTGTTAAGTGCCCTTGAGTTGTTCCAACTCATAGCGACCCTGTATAGGGTTTCTGAGAGCAGCTGGTGAGCTTGAACCACCAACCTTGTGATCCAAACCGACCTTGCAGTCCAGCGCATTAACTCACAGCACCACACCAGGACTCTTTTCCTATAGCTGATACACACTGCTGTATGCAAGCAGTCCATGATCAAACTTACTGTTATTGATCTCATAAAACGAGTAGAACTGCTTCGTAGGGTTTCTGAAACTGTATTTTTATAGAAGCAAACAGCATCATCTTTCTCCCTCAGAGCATCTCATGCAGCAGTCCAACACTTAACCCTCTGCACCAGCAGGACTCCTTGAATCCATGACAGTAAGGCTTTTATTTTTTGAAAGAGTGTTTCTTGATGAACAGTGATTGGGACTTATTGTTGGATTATTGTCGTGTGCCGTCGAGTCAATTCCGACCCACAGCGATCTTGTATAGGGTTTCCAAGGAACATCTGGTGGGCTTGAACCACCAACCTTGCAGGTAGTTTCTATCTTAAGCAGCAAAGCACCAAGCAGGAATCCAATGTCACTTGCCTGCCTAGTGCCTAGTGTGGAGATAGTCCTTCTCTTACCTTGTTTTCCTTTTAATCCATTTAAGCCTGGAAGTCCTTGGGTTCCCCTGGGACCCTCCATGCATATTCCTGGGGGGCCTTTTTCTCCAGCTGGCCCAGGGTATCCTGGATCTCCTGCAAAAAAGTCTCCAAGAATGTATCCAGGTGCTACAGACGAAGGCCCTAGACTTGTCATCTCGGTCATCCTTCTATCACCTGTATCTAATACCATAAATATGTCTTTTATAGAGGGCACTCATCATAAAGAAACGAAGGAAGGAAGAAGAAAGGCAGATGGACAAATAGGCCAGTGAGGTCAGATGGGAAAACCTTTGGATTCTGCAGATACTACTTACTGAGCTAAAACTGAGAGAAGGATTCTTCATCCTGAAAGCACCTACATTCAGTTTGCTGGAATTTAGCCAAGCTCACAGTGGGGATTAAGAATCACATTAGGTGGTCGTACCTCGTGGTCCATCAGACCCTTGATTGCCCGGGATTCCAGGGTGACCTAGAAGTCCAGGGAGTCCGATTTCTCCATTCTCCCCAGAATTGCCTCTTTCTCCTGGAAACCCAGGTTTTCCTGGTTCTCCAGGCATGGATAACCCTGGTTCTCCCTATTGCACAGAAATGTCATCGTATCAGTTAACACTCTGTAAACAAACCAACCGAGCAAACCAGAGCCCACTGCCATTGCATCAGTTCTGACGACTTAACAACAGCAAAATAGGGTTTGTTGTTGTTAAGTGCATTCGAGTCAGTCCCTACCCATAGCGACCCTGTATAGGGTTTTCAAGGAGCAGCTGGTGAGCCTGAATTGCCGACCTCTCAGTTCAAACCAATTTTGCAGTCCAGCGCATTAATCCACAGTGTCATACCAGGACTCCATATAAGATTTACAAGACTGTAAATCTTTATGGTAGCAGATTGCCTCATCTTTCTTCCAAGGGGTGGGTGGTGGATTTAAACCAATGTCTAATCCACGGTACCACCAGGGAACAGTCATATGTTGTTCTTAAGTGCCATCGAGTTCAAGTCCTTCTGGATTACTGAATGGTCTTTAGTGCTATTTACTTGAAAATCCTATCTCTGTTATGAAGATAAAACCCTATCTCTTTGGAAGGAGTTCTAGTGGTGCAGTGGGTTAAGCCTTGGACTGCTATCCAAAAGGGTGATGGTTCGAATCCACCAGTCACTTCTTGGGAGAAACACCAGACAGTCTGCTTCCATAAAGATTTAAGGCTTTGGTAACCCAAGGGAGCAATTCCACTCTGTCCTAGAGCGTCCCTAGGAATTGGAGTGGACTGGGCAGCCATGGCTTTGGTTTGGGTTTGTATATGTCCTTTTGACTTTTTCAAACTCAAGTTGTTGATTTTTTTCTCTATATAGAATTAGGACAGGCTCTGTAGCTCTCTCTTTTTCAGAAGACTGTGGAATTATCTATAAACAGAAAAATCAAGCTATGTTTACTTGTAATCATTTTATTGTGAGCTCTCCACATTTCTTTCTACACGTCTCCACTTTAAGCCCTTTGCTTCTGTGGTCATTAAGGGAGAAGAAATGTGAACCTGCCTTCGCACACCTCTGATTTTCCTTTCAAAAAGAGAGGAAAAGTCCGGACAATACAAAAAAAAGAAAGAAAGAAAGAAAAAAATGGGAAGAGACAAAGATATTCTTTATCAACATAAAAAATCATGAGGATTTGCATACCCCAGACCCACTTGTGTGTCTTAGCGTCATTACACTTCCCTCCCCCTTGTTCCTCTGACTTTGAACCTCACTGACCTTGGCTCCTTGCAGACCTGGCTTTCCTGGCTTCCCTGGACTTCCTATTTCTCCAGGACTACCGGCTGCTCCTTTTGCCCCTGGAAAACCTCGATCTCCTGTAAAGAAAATACAAACAGTAAAGGTTATTAGTCTAATTTAAAAGGTTCTGGCCAGTATATTTCATCTTTTATCTAAGGGTTTTATGGGACAAGCAGCCAGATAGGCCTTTATGAAGATCTGAATGATGAAAAAACCAACTAACAAATTACTATTGTCGTTAGGTGACGCTGAGTTGGTTTTGACTCATAGCGACCCTACGTACAACAAAACACTACCCGGTTCTACACCATCCTTATCATTGTTGTTATGTTTGAGCCCATTGCTGCAGTGACTGTGTTAGTCCATCTTGTTGAGGGTCTTCTTCTTTGTTGACACCCTCCCCCCGTCAATTTACCAAGCGTGATGTCCTTCTCCAGGGACTGGTCCCTCCTGACAACATGTCCAAAGTACAAGAGACAAAGTTTCATCATTACTACCAAGGAGCAATATGGCTGTACATCTTTTTTTTTTTTTAAGAAAGCAATTACTATTTTTATCTCCCTGCCTTCCTATTCTTCCTGCTGCCAAAAGAACCAACAGATCTGTGTTGGAAGAAGTGCAGCCAAGTGCTCCTTGGAGGTCAGGATGGCCAAACTTCGTCTCTCATACTTCAGACATATTGTCAGGAGGGACCAGTAGCTGGAGAAGGTTATCATGTTTAGTAAGGTGGAGGGTCAGAGAAAAAGAGGAAGACCCCCAGTGAGATAGATTGGCAAAGTGGCAGCATCAGTGGGCTCAAGCATGGCAACGTTTGTGAGGATGGCCCAGGACCAGGCAGTGTTTTGTTCTGTTGTGCATAGGGTTGCTATGAGTTGGTATCGACTCGATGGCACCTAACAACAACAACAACAACGTTCTTCTTAACTGCCTTCTCTATCACTCAAATTAGCATGTGTCTACACTCTACCCAGTGAGTAATTCTCCCTTGCCTACAACCCGCCCCTAGTAACCATTATAGAATGTTTAGTGTAGAATAAAAACCTTTTCTTGACTTATTACAAGAGTAATCTCATACAATATGTCATTTTGTGATCAACTGATTTCACTCAGTACTGCCCTCCAAGCTCCTCCAGGTTATATGGTATTTTGCAGATTCATCTTTACTCTTAGTGCTACACAATATTCCACTGTGTGCATATACCAAAGTTTGTTCAACCATTCCTTTGCTGATGGGTATCTAAGCTGTCTCCATCTTTTTGGCTATTGGAAATAATCCTGTAATGAACATGGGTGTGCATATATCTCTGTGTACTGGATCTTATTTCTTGAGGCTATATGCCAAGTAGAGAGATTGATGGGTTATATGGGATTTCTATTTCCAACCTTCTGAGAAAGTGCCATACCGTTTCCACATGGTTGCACAATTTTACAGACCCACTAGCATTATCGAAGGGTCCCAGACTCTCCACACATCTCCAGCATCTGTTGTTTCTGTTGTCTTTTAACTTAGCTCTTAATGCTGGGGTGAGATGATGATACCTCATTGTTTTTTTGGTTTGCTCCTCTCTAATGGCTAGCAGCCAAGAGCATTTCTTCTTGTTTGTGGACCACCTGAATGTCTTCTTGAATGATGTGTTTATGTCCTCTGCCCTTTTTATAAAATGGATTATTTGTCTTCTTCTTATTGAGGTGTTGAAATATTCTACCAATTTTATATAGTAGCTCCTCATCTGATAGGTTATTGTCTCGGTTTTTCCCCAAGTCTGTAGGTTCTCTTGCTCTCTTTTTAAACATTGACTGAAAACTTCCCATATAGTATGAAAAATCAGTAGGTTACCATACAAGAAGCTCAAGAAATCACATACAGGCCAGATCTCTACCCCCTGAATTGCTGTAGGTTCTCTTTTTACTTTTTGGTGAAATCTTTTGATGCTCGTGTCTTAATTTTTAGGAGGTCCTGGTCATCTAATTTGTCTTGTGGTTTGTGTGTTGTCAGTTATATGTGATGGTGTATTTATGCCATGTATCAGAGTCCCTAAGTTTGTCCCTATTTTTTCATTGATGGTCTTTATAGTTCTAAGTTTTACACTTAGGTCTGGCTATATTTCCAAAACAGATTAACTGTTATATTTTTGTTTGTTTGTTAAGTGCCGTCGAGTCGGTTCCGACCCATAGCGACCCTGTACAGGGTTTCCGAGGGTGTAAATCCTTACGGGAGTAGAAAGCCTCATCTTTCTCCCATGGAGCGGCTGGTAGTTTCGAACCGCTGACCTTAAGGTTCGCAGCCGGATTCGTAACCACTACGCTACCAGAACTGTTATATTAGCAATTAAAAAAAATCCAACTTCATGAAGGGGCTAGCTGGTTTGAAGTGCAGGGAGGTGTGTATGAACTCCCAAACTTGCAGCTGTTACTCATTTGACCTAGCTTGTATGGCTAGGGCTGAGCTGACCAGAACCCGACCAGAAGAAGATAAAGATGTCTGATAGTGTGAGCAAGTGTAAAATTACTACAGTTTGATGGACTGGACTTTTGCTTAAGGATGCAATTGCTCAAAAGCCCAACCAGAATGGAAAATTTGTCAAGGAGCATGCTTGTCTCCTCAGTGTACCAGGTTGGTAGGGATGGGACACTGGCTTACAAAACTGGAGCAGGGGGTCGGGGGCGGGTGGGTGGTGGGGAGCTATAAAGGCATGAAGTGGTTGGCTTACAAGCTTTCATGGGTTTCAGAATAAGGGGGATGAGGTAGAATCCCCACTGAATAGTTTGCCTCTTTTTCAGCTGGGTCTGGTGAAAGGGGTTGGGGGATGATGCTGACAGGATTTTATGATTCAATTGTAAGTAATTGTTAGCAGGATAAATTGTGATTGTCAAAACTGTAATTGTAGAAGATGTATAACAAAAAGCGGGGAGTTGTTAGTCTTTCATTTCAGGAACAGTCGACCCCAGGACCATCAAGAAGGAAGAGCATGAGTGGAGCGTGGGATTCTACCTAGAACAGTGACGGCAGAGATGGTGGCAGAGGTGGTGGCATGGAGAGACACAGCAGCTGTAGGCTCTAGGCCCATAGACAGAGTAGGGCTGTGTGCCGCTGGGCAGGAGGCTGGCTTGTAGAAGGTACTCTTTGGACATTTAAATGAATACATAGTTTTTGTTTTTCTTTGTTTTGTATGTGTGCATCAAATATTTTTGCTTTGTTCATTTGTGAAATATAAAATATAAATGGGGAACCACAGAAAGGAAGTAGGAGAACTGTTCTTTCAGTGAAGGGATTGCAATCATTGAGATGAAACAAAATGTATGATTCATTGAATGTAAAACTGATGATTTTGTCAGTAAATCTTCAGTCAAGTCACAATATAAAGTGTGTGTGTGTGTGTGTGTGTGGGAACAAACCAACTCCAGCTGAAAACGTTGTAGAGTTACGCAAAGATGGTGGTCACCTAATAACGCAGATACAACAGATGCATCTCAATTGTTCTTGAAAATGCTTAACTTTATGCTATGTGAACTTAGTGAAAAATTCAATTCTAAATCAGATTGCATTGGTCCCAGAGAGGAAGTGAGACAATACCTTCCATTTCACATCCTCATAAACTGACATGCAGTAATACTGGTGACATGTTAGCCTGAAGTGCAACATCAAAAACAGGCATCTCTTTTGACAAATGTTTTCCTATGTCTAAAAAATAAATCATAGATGGTTATCATTCTTTGAGTGGGGTGTCTTTTTTTCCACCTAAGGGGAAATGCTGCCAAAAAAATCAGAGGCTGAGATCTCAGACAGTAACCTGAGACCCAAAGAATGCTAACATCTATGATTGATTTTTCAGGCATAGGAAAATTGACCATTTGTGTTTATAATACTTCCTTTCTTTTCTGCCCCACTATCCATCTGCCAGTTTTTTCGTATTGTGTTTCAAATACCAGTAGGGTTGGCCATCGTAGACAACAGAGCTTCCAGACTAAGACAGACTGATAAACTAAGTAAGGCTTGGCTATCTACTTCTGAAAATTAGCCACTGAAAACTCCATGATCACAAGCAAACATTACTGAACTAGCTTGCTTTGCACTCAGCATTAGAGGAGCAATGCTGAGAGGAGGGCATCATGTTGGGAGAAGCATTAGGCCATTGAGGGTGAGGCAGATGCTAAGTGAGATGGATTGGAACAATGGTCCCAATGATGGATTTACACATGCCAGTAATCATGTGGAGTCCTGGTGTGGTGCTGTAGGACAAGTCCTGGACACAAGGTTGGTTTGAACTGCAAGGTTGGTGGTTCAAACTCACCAGCTGCTTCTCAGAAACCCTATACAGGGTCACTATGAGTTGGTACTGACTCGACGGCACTTAACAACAGTAGTAATCACGAGGATGACATACTGTTGTCGCTGTTAAGTGCCACTGAGTTGGTACCAAGTCATAGCGGCCCTATGCACAAAAGAACGAAACACTGCCTGGTCCTGGACCAACTTCACAATCATTGCTACACCTGAACCCATTGCTGCTGTCGTTGTCCCAATCCATCTCACTAGGGGTCTTCCTCTTTTCCTCCAACCTTCCACTTTACCAAACATGATATCCTTCTCCAAGGACTGGTTCTTCCTGACAGTATGTTCGAAGTATGAGAGACAGAGTCTAACCATCCTGACTTCCAGGGAGCCTTCTGGCTGTATTTCTTCCAACACAAATTTGTTTACTCTTTTGGCAGCCCATGACACTTTTAATATTCTCCTCCAACACCATAACTCAAATGCATCAATTCTTCTATGGTGTTCCAACTTTCATATGCATGTAAGGAGATTGAAAACACCTTGGTTTGGGTCAGAAGGCTCACCTTAGTCCTCAAGCTGACATCTTTGCTTTTGAACACTTTGAATAGGTCTTGTGCAGCAGATTTGCCCACTGCAGTAGGACCAGGACATGCTTCCTTCTGTTGTATGTGGAGCTGACATGCGTCATGGTCTATGGCAGTGGTTTATTCATCTACCCACCACCCATCCACCCGTCCATCCATCCATCTAGATCTATCTTCTAGATTATCAGATAAATAACTAGAGCTAAGAAATGTAGTAAGTTTTAAAAAACAAAAGCCTATTAAGAAGTAAAGGAAAAGAATTTCCCATAATCCCACAATCAAGAAGAAACCATGACTGTCATTTTGATGACTTTCTTTTCAGTTTATACCCCAAGCCTTTAAACCAATGTGATTGAGATGACGTAGTGATAAATAAATGTGACTTCTGCTTTTGTTTAAGACTTTCCCATTTCGTATTTTGGGGAAATAACATTTTAAAGGCATGACAGAGGTTTCCTTTCTTTCTTATGCACTTGTATGCGTTTACACTTTCGGAATGGCCACAGTGCATCTTACAGTTCAAAACGTTAAAAACTTTTACCCTTAGGTCCAGGGGGGCCAGGAACTCCAATTCCTGGAATCCCTGGTTCACCGTCAGGCCCTGGGAGACCTGGTTCACATGTTCCCACCGGCCCTGGGATTCCTGAAAAACATACAAACCCATTAACCTCAGCAACTTTTCTCCATCCTGTCTTATAACCCAATGTCTCAATCCTTTCTTTCATTCCCACACTATCTGGAGACTAAGAAAGTTTACAGCCTTTGTATCTTGTTCTCCACCTTTACCCTATGGACTAATAAATGAAGGACTGCAAAGTTCCAAGGGAGAAGAGCAAAGTGCGGGACCCTATCCAGAGAAGCAGTGACACCAGAAATGGAGGCAGAGACGATGACTTGGAGAGATGGAGCGGCTGGGGACTCTGGACTCGGGGAGGGAGAAGGGCTGAGTGCTGACGGCCAGGGGGCAGGCTTGTGGGGTGTACCCTTTGGTTGTTTATTCCTGAGTACTTCAGCGTACATCCAAAAAATAAAAAAACAACAAAAAAAGAGGGAATGGAAGCAAATGCCATTGAATGATGATGCATAGAGGGACTGTTAATCCCCTGTAAACTATCATCCAATTTACAATAAAAACTTTATATATATATAATTTAATTACTAAAAATACACATTCTAGGACCTCCTTGTGTGTGTAAAAGCTAAAGAGTTAAATTTCTTCATGAAGGACCTGTGGGAAGACCCTGCTAACCACTGAGATGGCTTTTCTCCCTTACCCCAAAATCATTGAAGAGTGTTATGTTCTAGAATTTCTCACATCAATTCTCTTTTGGAGACACACCAGGGAGGAAGACCCTGTATTTTCATGCAGATTATGTGGTCTTTATAAATTGTGCAGCTCCTTGTGCATTTGTCAGCCCTGTGTGTGCACTATATGTGTGCTCATTATTTACCCAAATGCGTTATCTGCAGAAAACATGGTGATTTAGATAACCTCAAAGGACAACAACAGCAAGTCCTTGCTTGCCTGTTTGCTACCTCATATGACCCTTTTGAAACCAAAATGAATGATTATTTTTCCTTATAATGGGAATGGCATTTTGCCAAGGAAGTTAAGGTTCCGATCTGACAAAAGGGATACTTACCAGGTGGACCCCGGGGGCCAGATTGGCCGGGGGACCCTGCAGGTCCTGGGGGGCCTGGGACTGCTGTTGAAACAGTGAGTTCTCCTTTTGGACCTTAAGAAAATGTGTGATCATAGGATGTGGCATGCATATTGTAACCTTTCTTGCTCTTAGAGGGAAAAAAATATGGTTAGAAATGATTTATGAAAAATATTCCAAGAAAAATAAAAAATTGTCTCCATTTCCCACAGCTTTTTCAACTAGCTTCCATATGAATGATCCATAGAAATTTTCTCAATCAACAAATATTTACAGGAGGTGTGGTGTGCTGCAAGATAATGCACTGGACTGCAAGGTCAGTTTGAACCGCAAAGTCTATGGGTCAAATGCACCAGTCACTCCTCAGAAACCCTATACATGGTCTCTGTGGGTCGGAACTGACTTGACGGCACTTAATAACAACAACAACTAATCTCTGAATCTTATTTTAATGAACAGTCCAGTATGCTGATGTATTAAATAAAGGAGCCCTTTCTACAAAATCAATTTTCTCTTACATATCAACAGGTTCTTTCTCACTGCCTAAGAGTTGACACATTCTATTGATTTGAAGCAGGTTTCTGTAGCTTCACTGGTCTTGGCAGTGATTCCGTAACTGAGACTGACATTCCCCTCCAAAGTAAAACAGGAATGGTTAGAAAACTAACCAACCGACTTCTCCTGGAGGTCCAGGCGCTCCAGGTGCACCTTGCTCGCCTTTTGAACCTGGCTGTCCTTGGGGTCCAGAGTCAGGTGGTCCTGCTGGTCCTGCTGGTCCCGGGGGTCCAGGAGTGCCAAGATTCCCTGGAGGACCCCGGTCCCCCTTCTCACCACTCAGGGCCTGTGAAAATAGGGGTCTTTCTGGAGAGTGCTTCGTGTCTGCCCAACGCCCCCCCCAATATAAAAACACTGTTGTCTAGTCAATTCCAGGACTGTGGTGACTCTAATAATCACTGGACTTCAAACCACAACGTTGGCAGTTCAAGCCCACCAGTGGCTCTGAGGGAGAAAGATGAGGCAAAGATGTACAGCCTCAGGGTGCTATGAATTGGAACCGATTTGACAGCCTGTGGGTTAATGCGCCAGACTGCAAAGCCGTTTGAACTGCAAGGTTGGTGGTTCAAGCTCACCAGCTGCTCCTTGGAAACCCTATACAGAGTCGCTGTGGGTCGGAATCGACTCGATGGCACTTTACAACAACAACAATAACAGCTAGTTAATTCCAACTCATAGCCACCCTACACGACAGAGCAGGACTGCTCCACAGAGCTTCCAAGACTGTAATCTCTATAGAAGCAGACTGCCTGGTATTTCTCCTGTTGAGTCACCGGTGGGTTTGAAAGGCTGATCTTTCTCATTTCGAAGTTAAGCGCTTAACCACTGCATCACCAGAGCTCCTAACATAATAGATGCCGTTGCTGTTGTTAAGTGCCGTTGAGTCGGTACCAACTCATAGTGACCCGATACAGGGCTTCTAAGGAGCAGCTGGTAGGTTTGAACTGATAGAAATTCAGTGCTTACCCTAAGCGTCATACCAGGATTGCTGTTACTGCTGTTAAGTGCCATTGAGTCATTCCAACCCATGGTGGCCCTGTATGGGGTTTCCAAGGAGCAGCTGGTGAGCTTCAACTGCCGATGTTGTGGTTCAAATTGGCATAACCCACAGCGCCACACCAGGACCACTGAGTTCACAATCAACTGGTATATATTGGGAATCAGTACTAACATAATGGAGTCACTGGGTTAAACATTGGGCTGTTCACTGAGATGTCGGTGGTTCAAATCCCCAGAGCTATCTTGGAAGAGAGGCTAATACTGACTTCTGAACTGCCACAACCCATGAAAACCCTAGGGAGCAAGTTCTACTCTGACATACTTGGGGTTGCCGTTCGTCAGAACTGACTCCACAGCAACTGGTTTGTCATCGTTGTCTAATTATAAAAATAGAAGCAACATACGGTTTCTGCTGCTTTGTTCCTTTTGAATTTCACAACGTTTCATTCACTTGAAACTGTCTCGACTCACACTCGAAAGGTTCTACAATGGTATACCGTCTACATGATAAAAGCAAACTCATGGCCCTCAACTCCATTCTGATCCTACGTGTTATAGAGCAGAAGTAAGTTCCATAAAGTTTTCTTGACGGTAATCTTTATGGCAACAGACTGCCAGGCCATTCTTCCGTGGTGCAGCCGGGTGGATCAGAACCACCAACCTTTCAGTTAGTTGTTGTTAAGTTCTGTTGAGTTGGTTCTGTCTCATAGCGACACTGTGCAGGTTTCTGAGGAGCAGCTGGTGATTTTGAACCACTGACCTTGTGGTTAGCAGTCCAGTGCTTAACTTACAGTGCCAACAGGGCTCCTTTCACGACAAGACATAAAGCACCACACATTAGCGACCTGATTTTCTTTCCTTCACCTTCTAAAAGGTCTTTTCCAGTTTGACAGAAAAGCGAGTGAGATGCAGGAGTCCTGGTTGTGGTGCTGTAGCATCAACACTGGACTGCTAACCATAAGGTCGGCGGTTCAAACTCACCAGCTGCTCCTTGGAAACCCAATCAAGGTCACCATGAGTTGGAACCGACTTGATGGCACTTAACAACAACAACAACAACAGCAACAACAACAAAGTGAGATGCAGATGGAATCTTCCTAGGATGGATCTTGTGGAAGGAAATCACATGATCGCCTGACTTCAGATGATTCGTGTGCAGGGACTGTTAGTGGGACAATGTTGGTCAATACAGACCTGTTGGCCTTTAGGTCCTGGGAGTCCTTTCACTCCGGGAGTCCCAGGCATTCCATCGGAGCCCTTTCTTCCCGGTTGACCTCTGACTCCAGGATCTCCTGGGGCACCCATCTGCCCCACTGGTGGAGATGATTCTCCTTTTTCCCCTTTCAATCCAGGGTCACCCTGAGCTCCCGGGAACCCCTAGGGCAGGAAGAAACAAGTCTGCACTGAATTAAGATTATGGGTCCTGTGACAATCTTAAAACAAAGGCAATGAGAACTTTTCCATCTTCATGAAAACATGGATTTTTTTAGACACTTTCTTGACTCACAAATACAGTTTCAATTCTTTTGAAAATAAAAGGATTCAATTAGATAGTAGAACTCATTGTAATATCCACAATAATATAACTCAATATGCTACAACAATCATAATTCAGATTGTGTTGGAGTACTGGTAAATTTTAACATGTGTCTCAGGATGATCTTATTTCAATATATCTATTCATATATGACTGTCAGATTTCCTATAATAACCTGATTTTTAACTTTTTAAAAAGCTTTGAGGTCAGTTACATACCATAATAAATTTATAGTTCACCAACAATGACCACAATCCGGAGTTAAACAATTTCTATAACTCCCCCAAATACCGTTAAGTCCATTTGTAGTCAATCTTTTCTCCCACGTTCAGCCCCATCAACCACTGAACAGTTTTCTATCTCCGATACCATTTGAAATGTCTATACATTTATGAATTCCGTTACTTGCTCCCCGCTACATTTATTCATCTAATCAACAATGATGTATTAAATGCCTAATCTTTGCCCCACACTGAACATGCGATTCAACCTTATTAGCCGAATGTTCAGCTTTCCAAATTGAAACCAAAGCTTCAAAACCACCAAATCTTACTGGGAATCCTGGAGACCCTGCAATTCCCGGAGATCCAGGGTTTCCTTTAGAGCCAACTGCACCTCGTTCCCCTAAAAAGCAACGAATTATTGAACATTTATCACACACCAACTCAGAGTCAAAATGTAATGCACTGTAGGAAGAGAATGGAATGATCACTTCTAAGGAAAAAACAGATCCAGGTTCTCCTAAAGCATTCAGTTCTAGAGGAGAATGCGGGCACATAACTGGAAAAAAAAAGATAATGTAAAATATAACTAACAAACCACAACAACAACAAACAAGAATTTTTAAGTCTCAGGTTTCTAGGATTCTCATCTCTGTAATTTTAAGTGATACATTCAGCCAATGCATAAGCCACTACGTCACCAGGGCTCCTATAGCAAAGCCCAGTAAGATGCAGTTTGGTGTCAGATAACCACAGTCTCAGAAAAAGCTGTACCCTTTTGATCTTGCGGTTTTGCTGCTGGAATTTTTTCTAAAGAAATAACTGAAAGCATTTGTAAGACTAAATATCCAAAGATGTAGACAGCAACTAAAAGCTAAAAAAATTTTAAATATCTAAATGTCTAAAAACAGCAGTTAATTAAATAAATCATGGTTCATCCAAAATAGGCTACTCTGCAACCATTTAAAATGAAATTATACTCCATATTAATGATGAATATATAGTATGATTCTTAAATAGGAAATATAATTGGAGTTCTGGTGTGGTGCTGTAGGATAAACCCTGGACTGCTAACCACAAGGCCGGCGGTTCAAACCCACCAGCCTCTCCTTGGAAATCCTGTACAGGGTCACTATGAATCGGGAACAAGTTAACAGTGTTTAACAACAGCAGCACAATACTTTACTAGTGTTCAGAAACTAAAATGGAACAGGGAAAAACATCTATTTGTATGTGATTTGGGCCGACTTTCTGTTTATCCAAAGGGGCCCTCATTTCACAGTGTGTTAGCCTTGGCATGCTAACCAGAGAATCAATGGTTTGAATCTATCAGCTGGTGTTCGGGAGAGAGATGAGGTAGGCTCTGCTCACAATGATGTATCACCTCAGAAACCCTGTTGGAGCAGTTCTGCTTTGTCCGATAGGGTTGTTATGAGTAGAAATCATCTTGACAGCAGTGAGCTATGCTAACCAACAAGAATATATGTTTCTGTAAGTTCTCAAAGGGTTCTGCATGTGTAAAACCTCCCTCCCAGGTCACGTCTGATATCCCAGTTCATCATGACATCAACAATCTAATCCCTTCCTGGACCCTTTTGTGCTAGAGGGTCATAATGAATCAGAGTTAACGCCCAGGTTTTGGTGTTTGCAAAAACGCCCATGTGAAAACTGTCTGTACCTGGAAGTCCTTTGACACCATCAAGCCCCGGCAATCCTGGGGGTCCTGGGGACCCTGGGGTCCAAGAACACTGTGTGCATATCAGGCCGGATTCCCCTACAACGAGATAACACTTGCGTTACTCACAAATCCACACTGTGTTATCAGAAACAACAGGTATTTCCAACTATACAACCATTGGTTACATTGAAAAAATCCCACTGACCAGGAAATGGGATTCTTATGTGCAGTGAAAAGGCTCAAGGACAAGGTACATATTAATCAAGAATAGCCATCTTATTATCTGTTTATCAGTCTGAGCTGAAGACTTCTTCTCAGAGAAAAGATTCCAAGCGTCTAACATAAAATGTCCAATATTCCCGTGTTTCCCATTTTGAGTGCAGAATAAAATTTACCATCTAGAGGTATCCAGTGATTTAGTGCACGGATGCTACATGGATTATGGATTTAAAAATAAGTGAATACTTTCAGCTAAGTCTTTGGTAAAAGAAGCCATCAGCTGCTGACTGCTGTGTGGGGTTGTTGTGGTATAAGGAAAATATCCAGGGATGATAGTAATGATAGAATCAGCTTTTTCAAGGGGTGGGGGGGCCACACCAGTGACTGAGCCAACCTTTTGGTCCGTGGTGTCCTGGGATTCCTGGAGGCCCCAGATGGCCAGGAAGTCCACGTTGTCCAGGAGGGCCCTTGCAAAAGATATTATCACCTATAAAAAGACAACACCAAAGACAGCTGTTTGTTCTTTCTTTTAAATCAGCAAATGTTTAAATGTATGTATGGATAAAATGCATTTGCTCTGTATTGGAAGAAGAGCCTTTTTAAGGTTGTCAGTATCTGAAAGGAGGAGTCCTGTGTGGTGCTGCGGGCTAATGCACTGCATTGCATAGTAGGTTTGATCTGCAAGGTCGGCGGTCCAGAGCTAGTCTACTTCTGAAAGCTCGCAACCCTTGAAAACCCGGTGGAGCAGTGCTCAACTCTGACACACACAAGGATGGCGTGTATTAGAATCAAGCTGATGGAAACTGGTTTTGGTTTTCTCCCCTGGCTCCTGAGATGGAGTTATGCAGTTTCTTGGAGACGGGTGCAAGGCACTGAGCAAACAGTTGCAAAGACAGTTTGGTAACAGTCCTCATCGGCTGCTCCCCTGCCCTTGTTCCTACCTCCATTCTGCTTTCTGGACCATTCTAGCTACAAAGGTGAGGCCTGAAAAAGTCGACATGTCACCTGTATCGCTAACAGATAACTTGTCCAACAAAACACCACTGGAAAGATGGCCCATGGAAATCACACAGGCGGATGCTAAACTAAGGGTAAGGTTCATTGTTCCTGATTTGTGTGTATCTGTCACCGCTGCCTTGGTGTTTCTGTAGGATTAGCACTGGACTACTAACTGCAAGGTTAAAAGATCAAACCCACCAGCCGCTCTGCAAGATGAAGATGGGGCTTTCCATTGTTGTAAAGATTTATAGCCTCAGAAATCCTATACAGGGTTGATCTGAGTTGGAATCGACTCGATAACAGTGAGTTTTGTTTTGTTTTTGGTCACTGGACAAGAAGCCCTAATGGTGCAGTGGGTTAAGCATTGGTTTCAACCCACCAGCTACTCCTCAGGAGAAAGATAAAGCAGTGTGTGCGTCTGTAATGATTTACAGCCTTAAAACTCTACGGTCAACAGTTTTACTTTGTCCTACGGAGTGCCTATGAGGTGGAATTTCCTCAAGGGCAGTGGGTTTGTCACGAGTAATGGATACAAAGGAGTCTATTGGACATCTTTACCTGGTGGTCCTGCAGGCCCCGGCAGTCCTTCCTGGCCTGGTGAACCAGGAAAGCCTGGGGACCCAGGAGGCCCCATGGTATTGTTTCCTGGGGGTCCCTGTTCTCCTTTCCTTCCTTTCACACCCGGTCGTCCAGTGCTTCCTTTCATGCCGGGTCTTGATGATCCTTAGAGAAAATAATCACTTTACTGTTTTTGTTTTGTTTTCTGCTTGATACATGGGAACATCAAAAGCATCATGGGAAATTTCCATTATCTTTTAATTCCATTCTTCTGTGAACTTTTTAAAGTCTCGTTGTATATATTTTGAATGATAAAAAGTGATACATTCTTATTTGTGCAAGTTAGAGGTGTATAAAGTATACAAAATACAAAATGAATCTCTCTGTTCCTTGTTAACTATTGGTCCCAGCAAAGCACAGAATATTCCATTCCCACAGGAGAGTAGATCGAACTTGTTATAAGGACTGAAAGCGAGTTTGGATGACACTGTAGTCTATTTGTTTAAAAGGACTCATGAGAAATTCTTGATACATGCTATTTTGTAGTTTTGGGGTTTTTTTTGTTAATTAAAGGAGAGATTGTCTGCCTCTCCATGTTATAAATGAGAAAGAAAATTATAAGGGGACTTCATTTCTGTCAATGGAATCCTGGTGTGGCACTGGTTAATGCGCTGGACTGCAAAGTTGGTTTGAGCCACAATGTTTGCGGTTCACTCACCAGCTACTCCTTGGAAACCCTATACAGGGTCACTATGGGTCAAACTGACTGGACAGCACATAGCAACAACAACAAATTTCTGCCAATAGTCTTAGATGTGAAAGGGCATTAGGGGCAGGGAGAGGCAGCTTACTCCTGGAAAGGTGGAACAAAACCTATTTTCTGCCTTTGCTCAAATGGGGTGGATGGTGAGGAGGTGGAAATTCACCCCTAAAAGCAGTGTAACAAGTCAGAAGACAGCCCTGATGAGAAACCATTTTTTACTACGTGAACTTAACGGCAAACCCTGGTGATTGACAGGTTCTTAAGAGTTTTGTATTTTTTATGGCCTGGTTTCTTAAAGCACCCTATTCACTACTTGGGGTAGGATAGGGAGAGCTTTTCCCTAATCTCTGGCCAAACCCTAAATTATTTTTTTCTCTCTTCTAATTTCAAGAGACACCCACGGTTAAATGTGTTGTTCCATGATGTGTACACAAGTACACACGATATTTATGTAGTTATCTACCCAGCCTGGTTACAATTGGATTATACATATAATTCTGTGGTGGTAGCTGTGTGCTGTGGAGTCAGTTTCGACCCATAGTGACCCTGTACAGGGTTTCCGAGGCTGTAAATCTTTATGGGCGCAGAACGCCTCATCTTTCTCCCACAGAACAGCTGGTAGTTTCGAACTGCTGACCTTGCAGTTCGCAGCCCGATTCATAACCACTACGCTACCAGTAGTCTAGTATTAACTCATTTTTAAATGATGAGTTACATGATATATAGATTAATACAATGAATTGCATCTGCCACCCTGGTTTATCCAATTTTTGCCACTTTTTTAGGCTTTTTATTTTTTCCTTAGAAAATAACGACATGCTGCAGTTACAACTGAAGTTTACTCCATCATTTGTCTGTCAGTATGTCACACTGCGGTGGCTTGCATAGTGCTGTGATTCTAACAGCTGTGCTACGAGGAATTTAAAAACCAGCAGGGTCACCCATGGTGAGCAGGTTTCCATGACGCTTCCAGACTCAGACAGACTAGGAAAAAAGACAGGCAGATTACTTCTGAAATGGTGAGCCACTGAAAATCTTACAAATAGCAGCGGAACACTGTCTAAAGATGAATCCCTCAGGTTTGAAGGCACTCAAAATACAACTGGGGAGGAGCTGACTTCTCAAAGGAGAGTTGACCGTGAGAATGAGACGGGAGTGAAGTAAAGGTCTCCCGAGTATTCATCCTTAATCCTCTTCTCTCCCAGGAAACAACCACTCTAATTACACTTCCAAGGAAAGATCTAGGACTCTGGAACAATATATTACAAAATATAAAACTCTACATAAGAGGTATATATATCCTTATGTAACAAGCGATACCTCATAAAAATTGTTATTTGCAATCAACCTAGTTACCATAAAAGGAGCTCTGGTAGCTCTGGTAGCGTAGTGGCTACAAGTCAGGCTGTTAACCTCAAGGTCAGCAGTTCAAAACTGCCAGCCGTTCCAGGGGAGAAAATGAGGATTTCTGCTCCCATAAAAATTTACAGCCTTGGAAACTCTACACAGGGTCCCTATGAGTCGGAATCAACGCCACAGCACAGAACCACCAATTACCAGTTATCATAAAGGAGAGCGCTGCGGTTCCATACAGTAAGCACTGGACTGTGAACCACAAGTTCCGTGGTAGCATAGTGGTAGTGTAGTGGTTACAAGTTGGACTGCTAACCTCAAGGTCATAAGGTCAAAACTAGCAGCTCTTCCATGGGAGAAAGATGAGGCTTTCTGCTCCTGTAAAGATTTACAGCCTCGGAAACCCTGTACAGGGTCGCTATGAGTCAGAACTGACTCCACAGCATACCACTAACCATGAGTTGGAATTGACTGGAAGACACTTAACAATCACAAGTTATCCTAGCAGGAGCCCTGATGACACAGTGGGTAAGCACTTAACTGCTCATGGAAAGATGAGCTGTGCAAACCCAGGAGCCCATTAAGCCAGAGAAAGATGCGGCAGCCAGCTTCTCAAACCCTATGTGGCAGGCTACTTGCCCTATAGGGTCACTGTGGGTTGGAACTGGCTTGATGGTAGTCGGCTTGGGGTTTTGGAGTTACCATAAAATGATTTCTTTATATCTTGGTGTGTGTTTTTTGGTTTCCTGCTTAACAAGTCTTCTGAATTTCAAAGCATCTGCTCATACCCCAAAGTTATTGTGCAATGTTTCTGATTCAACGGTTTGAGTTAAAGTCATTCAAGATTTTTTTTTTTTTTAAAAAAGAACAATTCTACATAGTTTTCCACTATCACTGCAAAGCACAAAAATAATAATTTACAACGGGGATACAATTTTAGATGAATTAATGAAACAACTGAATTATGCGAAACAATGCAAACTTAATAGGGTGTTCAAAGCATTTTCCTTATTAACAGCACGTCCTTACCAGGGCTTCCCGGGACTCCAGGGCCACCACTGGGACCTGTGGAGATAAAGCATTCATTAATTGGTTGCAAGATATATGAATGCCCTCTCTGCAGCTTTTGGAATATTGGACAACAATACGTTAATAACGAACAATAACTGTATTCCATACACTTATTCCAATGTCACACAGGGAATTATTAGAAAACCTCTCTTCCTTATCAAGATGCCCTGCAAAGGAGGACCAACCTGAGCAGCTATGGGATCAGCCGTGACCCCACATTATTTTCAATAGAGACCTACTGAAAACTCAGTTTATGCTCATGTTTGCTGGGAATTCAGAGGCAAGAAAAACAAACAAACACAGCCTTCATCACCCAAGGGCTGCAGTCTGACTGGTTGTTTGTCTGGTTGGTTGTAGGCCATTCTACCTACAATATTCCACAGACTACGAATTCTCTGATCCAAGAGAGGGGTTTAAAGTAAGTGTTAACCAGCAAAACTGAGTTTCTGTAAAGGAAAGTAAGAGTTTTATTTATACTCAGAGACTGCAAATCAGGAAGCATCAAGATGAAAACTCAAAATGGTGTGCTGAGGAGAGAGAACATAAGCACACGTCTTTTGTGAGAACTTTGTCCAGTGTGGGGTTTGATTGGCTGATGTATATAACATGCTCTGTGAGATTCATTTGTCAAGAATTTCCTTTGGCTGGGAAACTCAACCTTAGCCAGTTTCCTGTGTTCCAGAGTTGGTTCCCTACAGTCAAGTGGGTGGGTCACCTCAGAATGTGGAACAAGTTATTTTGGTCAAGGCTGTAGTCAAGGGTTACATACTCTACAAAGCAGAAGCAGAGGCCTAGGAGAAAATGGAGTCCAGTTCAGATGTGAATCAGCCACTATAGTTATGCCATGGGCCTTAGTTTTAGAGTGCTCTTTCACATATGTGAGTCCTGGCATGGCACCCTAGGATAAGCACTCAATCTCAAGGTCATTTTTAATCACAAGGTTGGTGGTTCAACCTCACCAGACACTCCTTGAAAACCCTATAAGGGTCTCTATGAGTTGGAGGCAATTTGATGGCACTTAACTTCACATAAGTAGAGCAGATTTTAAGGAGTCCTGGTGACACCGTAGTTAAGCATTTGGGTGCTAAGCACAAAGTCGTGGGTTTGAACCCACCAACTAGTCTGTGGGAGAAGATGTGGCAGTTTGCCTCAGTGAAGAGTACAGCCTTGGAAACCCCACGGAGCAGCTGTATTCCGTCTGATAGGAATATGAGCCAGAATTGACTCAATAGCAATGGGTTAGGTAGAGAAGATTTATAAAAACCTCTGTCTATATTTGGGAGTCCTGGTATAGTACTGAAGGATAAGCATTGGACTGCAAGTCAGTTTGAATTGCAAGGTCAGAGGTTCAACCTCAACAGCAGCTCCTTGGAAGTCCTATACAAGGTCACTGTGAGTCAGAACTGACTAAACCACATTGAACAAGTCTATATTTTTCTGTCCATTTATTTACATACACTGAACAACTTTACTCCTTTGAGTAAAATTCTGCTTTGAAATCTTCTTTATATCAACAATTTGCCTTGATCAGTGGTCTATCTAATTCTGGTGGCAAATTAGAATAAATAAGAAAAAATAATTAAATCTACCAGTGCCCAGGACTCTCCTGCAGACCAGTTAAATCAGAATCTCAGGGAATGCGCACTGACGTGGTTATTATTTAGAAGTTTCAAAGGTTCTCAAGGGTAATCAGAGATGAGAGCGGCTTGCAGAACTTCAGCCTTTTCAATGTCAAGGTAATTTAAAATGCAGTACCACCTATGAATATTGGTGGTGGTAATTATATGGCAACACATTGGTTCTGACTCATAACAACCCTGCATAGGGTTTCCGCGGCTATAAATCTTTATGGAACACAGACAAACACAGCCCGGTTTTTTCTCCCTTGTGTGACTGGTAGATTAGAACTGCTGACTTTGTGGTTAGTATCCCTGCTCTTAATCCACTATGCTACTTGGACTCCTTACCCTATGAATACTGTTGTTTCTAATTGCCATCAAGTTGGTTCTGACTCATAGTGACCCTGTACAGGATTTCCAAGGAGCAGCTGATGAGTTTGAACCACCGACCTTGCAGTCCAGTGCATTACCCTACAGCATCACACCAGGACTCCTCTGTGAACATTGGTGGTGGTGGTAATGTGACATGGAGTCAGTTCCAATTCATAGAGACCCTGTGTTGTATAATCATCACCAATAATTACTGCCAAATTCTCCATCATTATAAACAGAAACTTAATGCTTCTTAGACAGTGACTGACTGTACCCTTTCAATTTTTTTGGTCTCTGAATATTCACATGAAAAGCACAGAATTGGCAAGTGTTGCACTGTAGGCATTTTTATCAACAATTTGGACAACAAACATTCAAAATACAGCCGTAGGTCACTAAGCACATGCTACACATTACCTTTATGGCAAGTCTGGGAAGTTACAGGCAAACCCTTTAGGAAGAAATTTATTCTTACCTTGAGGTCCACGAGCTCCTTTGGGCCCTGGTGGACCTGGACTTCCTTCATCTCCTTTTTGCAGGTATGCGTCATAATATTCTGTCTTAAAGGAGATAAAAAGAATAAAGAGAAAGGATAGCTATGTATGAACAGCTCACTAAATGCAACTGTTTCTTAGTACGGGTGTCTCTTGTCTGTCAGTTTATTGTACTGGGATGGCTTGTGTGTGGCTATGATATTAGAAGCTATGTCGCCAATATTATAAATATCAACAGTGTCACCAAGGTGTACAGATTTCAACAGAGTTTCCAGACTAAGAAAAATAGGAAGAAGAGGCAGACCACTTCTGAATGTCTAGCCACTGAAAACCTTATGAATATTGTCAGATATAGGACCAGAATATGAGACCATTATCAGCTATAGTGCCAGAAGATGAGCCACTCAGGTTGGAAGGTACTCAACATACGACTGGGGAAGAGCTACCTCCTCAAATTAGAGTCAACTACAATGACGGAATAAAAATTGAAATCTATCAAGAAAGTGAGGTGGCACTGGAGGCACTCACTCATCTCTGCCAAGAAATTTGGAAGACAACTATGTGGCTAAATGAATGGAAGAGATCCATGTTTGTGCCCATTCCAAAGAGAGGTGACCCAACGGAATGCGGAAACCATCGGACAGTATCTTTGATATCCCATATGAGTAAAGTTTTACTAAAGGTAATAGAGAAACGGCTATAATCATACATTGACAGAGAACTTCCAGAGGTTCAAGCTGGATTCAGAAGAGGCCATGGAACAAAGGATATTATTGCTGATGTCCGATGGATCTTGGCTGAAAGCAGAGAATATCAGAAGGATGTTTACCTTTATTGACTACGCAAAGGCTTTTGATTGTGTGGATCATGACAAGCTATGGGCAACATTGTGAATTATGAGTATTCTGGAACACTTAATTGTGCTCATGAGGAATCTGTACCTGGATCAAGAGGCAGTTGTTCGACCAGAACATGGGAACACTAAATGATTTAAAATTAAGAAAGGTGTGCGACAAGGTTGTATTCTTTCACCATACTTATTCAACCTGTATGCTGAGCAAATATTCTGAGAAGCTTGGTTATATGAAGAAAAATGTGGCATCAGGATTCGAGGAAGACTTATTAACAACCTGTGATATATAGATGCTGCAACCTTGCTTGCTGAAAGTAAAGAGAACTTAAAACATTTACTGATGAAGATCAAAGAGCACAGCCTTCGGTGTGGATTACATCTCAACGTCAAGAAAACAAAAATCCTCACCACTGGACCAATAAACAACATTCTTATCAATGGAGAAAAGATTGAAGTTGTCAAGGACTTCATTCTTCTTGGATCAACTATCAACACTCACGGATGCAGCAGTCAAGAGCTCAAATGACGTATTGCATTAGGCAAATCTTCTGCACAAGACCTTTTTAAAGTGTTGAAGAGCAAAGATGTCAGCTTGAGGACTAAGGAAGGTATGCCTGACCCAAGCCATGATATTTTAAATAAACTCATATGCATGCGAAAGCTGGACAGTGAATAAGAAAGACTGTAAAATAATTGATGCCTTTGAGTTATGGTGTTGGGAGGAGAATATTGAAAGTGCCATGGGCTGCCAAAAGAACATATAGATCCGTTTTGGAAGAAGTGCAGCCAGAGTGCTCCTTAGAGGCCAAGATGGCCAAACTTCATCTCGCATACTTTGGACAAATTGTTAGGAGGGACCAGTCGCTGGAGAAGGAGATCATGATTGGTAAGGTGGAGGGTCAGAAAAATCCAGCGAGATGGATTGGCCAAGTGGCATCATCAATGGACTCAAGTGTGGCAACAGTAGTGAGGTTGGCCCAGGATCGGGCAGTGTTTCATTCTGCTGTGCATAAGGTCTCTATGGGTCGGTACCAATTCAATGGCACCTAACAACAACAAAACCAATGACGGAAATGGTAAAGCTATCAGGTCCTTCATTTGCTGACTCAAAATAAGGAAAAACAGCTGAAAATATCATTAATATTTGGAACATGGAATTTACAAAGTATGAATCTAGGGATTGGAAGTTGTCAAAAATGAAAAGGAACACATAAAGATCAAAATCCTAGGCATTAGTGAGCTGAAATTGACTGGTAATGGCCATTGTGAATTTGGAAATCACATGGTTTACTATGCCAGGAATGGCATCATATTTATTGTCCAGGAGTATTTTAAGATCTATCTTGAAGTCCAGTGCTGTCTGTGATAGGGTGATAGCCATCTGCCTACATGAAAGACAAACTAAAACCACCATAGTTCAAATTGATGCACCAAACACTAAAGTCAGAGATGATGAAATGTAACACTTCTACTGACTTCTTCAGTTTGAAATTGATCAAACATGCAACTAAGATGCAGGGATAATTACTGGATTGGAATATAAAGGTTGGAAACAAAAAGAAAAGATAAATAATGGGAAACTATGGCCTAGATGATAGGAACAATCAGCTGGAGACTACATGATAGAATTTTGCAAGACCAAAACCCAACAATTTATTCATTTCAAACACCCTTTAAAGCAACATAAAAGGTGATTATATACATGAACTTCACCAGATGGAGCACACAGGAATCAGACTGAATACATCTGTAGGAAGAGAAAGCAGAGAAACTCAGTGTTGTCAGCTAAAACAAGGCGAGAGTCCAAATGTGGAAGAGATCACCAATTGTTCACATGGAAGTTCAGGCTGAAGCTAAAGAAAATCAAAACAAGTTCATGAGTGCCAAAGTATGACCTTGAATAGATCACAACTTGAATTTAAAAAGCTTCTCAAGAACAAACTTGATGCATTACACAATAATGACTTAAGACAAGAAGAGCTGTGGGATGGCATCAAGAAGAAAGTAAAAGGTCATTAAAAAGACAGGAAAGAAATAAAAGACCAAAACGGATGTCAGAAGAAACTTAGAACTTACTCTTGAGTGTAAAGAAGTGAAAACAAATGAAATGATAGAGGAGGGAAACGAACTGAACAGAAAATTGCAAAGGGCAGCTCAAGAAGACAAGGCCAAGTATTAAAATCAAATGTGCAAAGACCAGACATTAAAAAGCAAATAGGGAAGAACATGTTCAGCATTTCTCAAATGGAAAGAAGTGAAGAAAAAATTTAAGCCTCAACTTGAAATACTGAAGGATTCGATGGGCAAAATATTCAGTGATGCAGAAAGCATCAAACAAGAAGGAAGAAACAGACAGTCACCAAAAAGAAATGGTACATGTTCAACCATTTCAAGAAGTAGCATATGATCAAGAATTAATGGCACTGAAGGAAGAAATCCAAACTATACTGAAGGCATTCACAAAAAACAAGGCTCTACAGATTGATGAAATACAAACTGAAATCTTTCAACAAACTCGTTCAGCACTAGAAGAACTCAGTAACCTTTGCCAAAAAATTTGGAAGACTGCTTCCTGGCTACCTGACTAGAAGAGATCTATATTTATGTCCATCTCAAAGAAAGGAGACCCAACATGATGTGGAAATCATCAAACAATATCATATGCAAGTATAATTTTTGCTGAAGATAATTTAAAAAGTGTTTTAACAGTCCATGGACAGAGAACAGTTAGAACATCAAGTCAGATTCAGAAGAGGACCTGGAACTAAGGGTGTCATTGCTGACATCAGATGGATCTTGGATGAAAGAAGACAAAATCAGAAAGATGTTTACTTATGCTTTACTGACCATGCAAAGGCTTTCAACTGGGTAGATCATGACAAACTATGGGTTATTTTGGAAAGTATATTCTAGAACACTTCATTGTGCTCATTAGGCAGCTATACATAAACCAAGAGGCAGCTGTTCAAACAGAACAAGGGGATCCTGAATTGTTTAAAATCTGGAAAGGTGTGAACCAAGGTTGTATTCTTTCACCCTAGTTATTCAATCTGTATGCTGATCAAATAATCCAAGAAACGGGATTACATGAAGAAGAACATGGTATCTTCTCTAACATGAGAAAGACTCATTAACAACCTGTAATATGCAGATGATACAACCTTGCTTGCTGAAAGTAAAGAAGACTGTAGTCTTTACTACAGCCTGCAGTATGGATTGTACCTAAATGTAAAGAAAACAAAACCCCTCACAACTGGACCAAACAATAACATTAAGATAATCAGAGAAAAATTGAAGTCAAAAACTTCATTTTGCTTGGATCCACAATCAACACTCCTGGAAGCAGCAGTTAGGAAATTAAATGATATATTGCATTAGACAAATCTGCTGCATGTGATCTCTTTAAAGTGTTCAAGAGCAAAGATGTCAGTTTGAGGACTAAGTATGCCTAACTCAAAAAATGACCCAATACATGGATTTCTTGATGGCTGTTTCCATGGGCATTCATTGTGGATCCAAGTAACATGACATCTTTAACAACTTCAATACGACAGATAACTCTGTGTGAATACGTGTGTGTATAAGGTCAGCAGTTCAAACTCACCAGTAGTTCCTTGGAAACCATATTCATGGTTGTTATGAGTTAGAACCAATTTGACAGTACATAACAACAACCAACAGCAAATGACTCTACACATGACTCCCACATATATTAGACTCTGATTCATTTTTTTCTATTCTACTTTTCATTTTTAACATGCTGATCCTCACCCATTATACTTATTTTTAAGTTGGGCCCTGCCAAACCTAAACCAGACTCACTACCATTAAATCTATTCCTGTGTATCGACCCTGGGAGAAAGATGAGGCTTTCTGCTCCTGTAAAGATTTACAGCCTCAGAAACCTTGTACAAGGTCGCTATGAGCTGGTTCCGACTCCACAGCACATAACCACCACCACCACAGGGTTTCCAAGACTATAAATCTTTAAGGTAGCAGAAAGCCTCATCTTTCTTCCTGCAGCCACTGTTTCAACTGCTGACCTTGCAGTTAGAAGTCCAGTGTTTATTCTATAACATCACACCAGGACTTCTGTTGGGCCCTATGATTTGTTGTTGTTAGGTGTCATCGAGTCAGTACTGACTCATAGCGACCCTATGCACAACAGAATGAAACACTGCCTGATCCTGGGCCAACCTCACAATCGTTGCTATGTTTGAGCCCATTGGTGCTGCCACTGGGCCAATCCATCTCATTGGGGGTCTTCCTCTTTTTCTCCACCACTCCACTTTACCATACATGATATCCTTCTCCAGTGACTGGTCCCTCCTGACAATATGTCCAAAGTATTAGAGATGAAGTCTGGCTATTCTGGCTTCTTCCAACACGGATCTGTTTGTTCTTTTGGCAGCCCATGGTACTTTCAATATTCTTCTCCATCACCTTAACTCAAAAGCATCAATTCTTCTAGGTATAAAATAAATAAAGGAAAATAGAAAACAGCTGATATATTTTGCTTCTTTAAATACCAGGACATCCTTAACCTGCAAGAATGTATGTCCATTCCTGTGGTATGTCCGGTGGATCTACTACTGGTTTACTTAGGTATTTATATCTTAAAGCAAGCAGAACTAGGAAGTTTGTAGGAATGGCAAATTGTCACATTAAATTGAGCTTAAGAAAACAAACGATAAACTAGGAAAGCTAAGAAGTCCTCAAAAAATGCAACTGACAGGTAGATTTTGTTTAGAATTTAAATTCAGTACATTTATCTTGAAAAGAAAGGAGATAGAAAAGGTTTTTAAACAACTCTTTGTTTTGTTTTTGTCTGTGCTACTTGGGGCCAATTATTTCCTTCATTTGTTTAAAGATGAGCTAACAAGAACCTAATGTGGTGCGGTGGGTTAATGTGCTGGACTGCAAGGTCAGTGGCTCAAGTTCACCAGCCGCTCCTTGGAAACCCTATACAGGGTTGATATGAGTTGGAACTGACTCGACAGCACTTAACAACAGCAAGAGCTGAGTGATGAATCAAGGTGTATCAAAACTAGTATTAATATTTGTGGTTAGCAGTCCAGTGCTTATCCTGTGTCTTCACACCAGAACTCTTATCAATGTTGTTGTTGTTAGGTGCCATTGAGTTGGTTCTGACTCATAGCAACCTTATGCACAACAGAATGAAACAATGCCCAGTCCTGTGCCAACCTCACAATCATCGCTAAACTTGAGCCCATTGCTGATGCCACTGTGCCAATCCATCCCGTTTGGCGGGGAGAGGTCTTCCTCTTTTATTGCTGACCCTCCATTTTACCAAGCATCATGTCCTTCTCTGGGGACTGGTCCCTCCTGATAATGTATCCAAATGAGAGACAAAGTCTTAACATCTTGGCTTCCAAGGAGAGATTTGTTCGTTTGTTCTAGAAGTTCATGGTACTTTCAATATTATTTTCTAACACCATAACACAAATGCCTCAATTTTTCTGTGAAATTTCTTATTCACTGTCCAACTTTCACATGCATACGAAGCTATTAAAAATACCATGGTTTAGGTCAGGTTCACCTTACTCCTCAAACTGCCATTTTAGCTCTTAAACACTTTAAAGAAGTCTTGTACCTAATGTAGATTTGCCTAATGTAATGCATGGTTTGATTTTTTGACTGCTGCTTCCAAGAATGTAGATAGTGGATCCAATGACATGAAATCTTTGACAACTTCAATCTTTTCTCCATCTATCCTGAGGTTATTTATTGGTCCTGTTGTGAGGATTTTTGTTTTCTTTACATTGAGGTGTAGCTCATATGGAAGACTATGGTTTTTGATCCTCATCAGTATTTTAAGGCCTCTTCACTTTTAGCAAGCTAAAATCCTGATGTCACATTCTTCTTCACATAATCCAGCTTCTTGGATTATGTGTTCAGTGTACAGATTGAATAAATATGGTTAAAAAATACAACCCTATTTTTAAACCATTTGGTGTCCCCATTTTCTGTTCGAATGACTGCCACTTGGTCTATTTACAGATTCCTCATGAGCACAACTAAGTGTTCCGGTATACTCATGCTCCATAATGTTGTCCATAGCCTGTCATGATCCACACGGTGGAAAGCCTTTGAATAGTCGATAAAGTACAAGGAAACATCTTTCTGGTACTCTTTGCTTTCAGCCAAGATCCATCTGATGTCAACAGTGATAGCTGTCATTCCTCATTCTCATCTGAATCTGGCTTGAACCTCTGGCAGTTTCCTGTTGATGTACTGTTGCAATCATTTTTAAATTATCATCAGCAAAATTTTACTTGAATGTGATATTAATGACATTATCCCATGATTTCTGCATTCCACTGGGCCACATCTCTTTGGAATTGACACAAATATCGATCTCTTCCGATCAGCTGGCCAGTTAGCTGTCTTCCAAATTTCTTGGCATAGATGGTTGAGTGCCTCCAGGACTGCATCAGTTTGTTGAAAGATTTCAATTTGTATTCCATAATTTCCTGGAGCCTTGTTCTTTGCCAATGTCTTCAGTGCACCTTGGACTTCTTCCTTTAGCACTGTTGACTTTTGATCATATCTTATTTCTTGAAAAGATTAAATTTTGACCATTTCCTTTTGGTACAGTGACTGTATTCCTGCCATCTTCTTTCGATGCTTTCTGCATTATTTAATATTTTGTCCATAGAATCCTTCAATAGTAATAATAATAACATAATCTCCACCAGAAAATAAATAACGAAATGTATGCACTTGCTGAATGTAAGTCACTGTACTAACTATTTTCATACACACACACACACATAATTTTCAGGGCAATCTCAAAAAGGTGTTTTGCACCTGAAAGAATTGCTTTTTATATAGGATGATGCTTTCTAGGCCTCACTTCTAATAACTCGATGGTATTACTAACCCTGAGGGTTCTCAGATCTGCGTTTTTATCAAGCTCCCCCTACCCAGCCCCAATGACATTTGCTCCCATGAGTCATTTTACCCAAACTTCCCAGCCTAAGGCAGCATCCTTCTCCACACATGCAGTTGATTCCCACCATCTTTTGTGTCATGAGATGTACAAATGTCAGAACTCTGAGCTAGCATCGCTTTTCTCCCCTCCCCAAATTTCAGAGCTACAGAAGGTAGCATGGGGCTGCCCTAGAGCGATGACCATCATCCAATCCATGCCCACTCTGGAGAGAGGACCTCTGCCTGCTGCCCTGGAACTTGGGTCACAGTGAGGGTTTTTTTCTGTCCTGCTTTGGAGCCATGACTGAGCAGGTGCTGTTAAAGCCGAATCAGGAGAAAGGGCAAGGGCAGCCGGCTTCCTGACCCAGCCTCCCTCCTCCACACTGAGGGTACAGGGCCACCTTGGACACAAATATTTTCTTCTCTGGAACCCAGGATGGGCACCACTAGTACACTCCAGGGACCAAACAGGAAACACAAATGGACAAACAATGACACAGATATTTCTGTTCTGGTTTGATTGATTTTTTTAAAAAGCTACCAATTCTATTTAATACATCAGTTAATAAACGACAATGATTTAAAATGCCATTGAGGTTTGAAGGACTGAATGAAACATGACATGGATATTAGCTTTAATGACACTTACTGGACCACGGAATCCTGGAGGGCCAAGGTCCCCTTTCCATCCCTGTGTGGAGAGACAGTTACAGATCATGAGTGTACGCATGCAAAAGGCTTCCCCATTCAGTATATTTAAAAGCAAATGCAAAAAAATTGATGCTCAAAGTAATGAGATTTGGAGCTAATGTGCAAACCAAGCTAGAGGAAAACTGACGTCAGATTATCTTCCTGGAGATTCAAGAATCCTATATCTAGGGGGTCCTGGAAAGTTGCTGTTACCCTAGCAATTCGCCAAGCTTCTTCCATGCCCAGTTCCCATGGATGTGATTCCCAGTTCTCATGGATGTGCCCACTCCCATGTTCTCACCCAGACTGGAGGCTCAGAAAAGCCGGGCTGTGAGTAACATGCAATTCCCACAGTTCCAGTTGCAACATCCCCTTTCCATCCAACTCAAGAAAGCATTTCAAGATTGAAATGATTGGGAGTGAAATTGGGCTAAGATACATCTTGAATCTGCACCTATCTCTAGACATGCTAGTTATTGGAAAATGTGGCATGTGCTATCCAAACCCAATGAGCTGGAATAGTAACAGCTCTCAAGCCTTTAGGGTCTATGACTCCAGGTGAGAACCATTGGGTCAGGCCTACACTTGACTTTGAACCACCAGAGATTTCCCCTGCCCAAAGGTCTTCTGCACCCCCTTCTTCAAGGGGAGCTGGAAGCTCACTGATCCAAAATCTTTCGCCTGCAACTACAAAGAACAAGTTTAATACCTTTCCCACAAGACCATCCTTCAAATGTTTATGTAAAGTTGCTATACCTTTTCTTCTGAAGAAAAATACCAAGGCAGTTAATGACGTTTAGAACTGCAATTCCCTGTGCCTAATTCTAAGATGGGGAAAATGCTGTTGTGAAGTGTTGTTAAGCTGTTGTTAAGAGTCAGTTCTGACTCATAATGACCCTGTATAGGGTTCCAAGGAGTGGCTGGTGGGTTTGATAACAACTGGCCTTGCAGTTAGCCATCCAGTGCTTATCTTACAGCACCACATCAGGACTCCTGGGGAAGAGTAAGTTCAGGTAAAACCCAAGCAATTAAGAAAGTTGAGGTTAAGATCCTAGAGTATTACAGCAGGAATTACCTTAGCGCCATGTTCACCTGGGAATCCAGGGAAGCCCCTGATGCCCTTGATGCCCTAAAAGAAAGAACAACATAGGACAGACCAGAACACACCTTGTTTCCATATGAAGCTGTAGCAGTGGGAAGGCCTTCTTAGTAAAAGAATGTGTTTAGGTCACATCAGTTCACAGTGAAGAGTCCTGGTGTGACACTGTGGGTTAATGGACTAGACTGCAACGTTGATTGAACCACAAGGTCGGCAGTTCAAGCTCACCAACTGCTCTTCGAAAACCCTATACATGGTTGCTGTAGGTCAGAACTGACTCGATGGCACTTAACAATAACAACAAATTCACAATGAGGACATAAATCTGAGATTCTCAAATGTAGTTTTAAAAAAGTTATAAATATTAAAAATATCCTCCAAAAGAAGAAATTTGTTACTACTAAGTTGATTCCGACTCATAACAGCCCTATGATGTCAGAGTAAAACTGTGCTCTACAGAATTTTCAAAGGCTAATTTTCCTATAGTAGACCACCGAGACTTCCGTCTCTAGATGGAGTGAAACCATCAGGAGCTGAGCACATTACCATCGGCCCCACTCAGGGATTCCTGGTTGTTGTTGTTAGGTGCCATCTAGTCAGTTCTGACTCATGGTGATCTTATGCACAACAGAATGAAACATGGCCGGGTCCTGAGACAACTTCACAATCATTGTCACGCTTACTTAAACCAAACCCATGGCTACTGAGGCCATTCCAACCCACATCAACTCTACACAAGGTTGTCAAGATTGTACAACTTCCTGGGAGCAAACAGCCTCATCTTTCTCCTGCAGAGCCACTGGTAGCTTTGAACCACTGACCTTGTGGTTAGCAGTCCAGTGCTTACCTTACAGCATCACCAGAGCTTCTTTAAAACCATTTTGTTGATGTTGTTAAGTGCCATTGAGTTGGTTCCCATTCAACTGTTGTTTTAAGAAATGTTGAGCTGGTTCCAACTCATAGCAACCTTGTCTAGGATTTCTAAGGAACAGCTGTTGGGTTTGAATTTCTAACCTTGTGGTTAGTAGTCCATTGCTTATCCTACAGTTCCACCAGCGTTTCTTTATACCTACTTTTGTTGCTGTTGTTAAGTGCCGTTGAGTCGGTCCTGACTCATAGCAACCCTGTATAGGATTTCCAAGGAGCAGCTGGTGGGTTTGAACTGCCGACTTGTGGTTGCAGTCCAGTGCTGACCCTACAGCGCCATGCCAGGCAATCCTTCCTAGAGAGGTTCCAGCATTTTCAATAAACCAATGGGCCAAACCCATTCTTTACCTTAGTCCCAGGGAAGCCAGGGGTGCCATCTTTTCCAGCTTTTCCCTGAAACAAAAACAAAACAAACACATGTAATCTGATACTCATGGGTACCTTTTCTAAATTTTATTGTTGCTGTTAAGTGCTGTCAAGTTGACTCCGACTCATAATGACCCTGTAGAGAGATTCCAAGGAGCAGCTGGTGAGCTTGAACTACAGACCTTGTGGTTCAAAGCGACCTTGCAGTCCAGTGCATTAACCCACAGCGCCACACCAAGACTCCTACGTTTATAGATAAGGAAACCTTAAAGGATAGCATCATCTCCAGTTGGCCTCAGGCAAGCAGGCCTGAGTGAGGTTCCCCATCCACTGGAGAAAAAAAAGCTCTTTCATAAACACTCTAGGGAAGGCAGAAGCCAGTCACTGTGAATTGAGGGAGGACGTGAGAGGAAAATAAGGGATTTTAGGCCTAGGAGAAAAATCGGAGAAACCCTGAGCTGAGAAATGAGTAAGGAAACACAAAAAGTGAGGAAGGTGCTTAGAATCAATTTATTTATTGAAATGTTGGTAATTCTTGGAACCCCAGATGTCCCTATATTTAAAAATATGTATAAAAGACATGGATTTTGCATTCATTCTTCTTTTTGTCTACAAAGTCATAGAAACCTTTATAAGCAAAAATAACAAAATATGAAGCTCTTGTTTCTCAACATATCCTCCATCTATGTCTATATACTTCTGAATACAGTGTTTCTGTGGGTGGAGGGTCAGAGAAAAAGAGGAAGACCCCCAATGAGATGGATTGGCCAAGTGGCAGCATCGATGGACTCAAGCGTGGCAATAGTAGTGAGGTTGGCCCAGGACTAGACAGTGTTTCGTTCTGCTGTGCATAGGGTGGCTATGTGTCGGTACCAACTCGATGGCACCTAATAACAACAATGACAACAACAACAACCCATCCCGAGTATTTGATAGACACAACTTTAAAATGGCAGTTTTGACATCCTTGAGGGGCTCAAATTGTGTTCCTTAAAAAATTTTTTTTTTCAGTGATACTTCCATTTATTTTACGTTTAGTAATAAAAATTATTTTCTATCTCATATATGATTGGATACATATTTTGCTTTAAAATTAATAGTCACAATTGAAGAAACAATGGTTTATTTTTCTAATCAAGTGACCAAACTGCTGAATCTTAAGGTCCCAACAACCGTTGAATCTTATTGTTTTCATTGAACAAGACCTTCTATTTGATTATTCTTGGTACACAGCATTTTTTTTCTCCAGTAGTTTCCATTTGTCAGATAGTTTAGCCTGGTGACTTTTGCTTTTATGAGATTCCATCATATGAATCCTCATTTCCAGTGCAATAACTCTTAGCAATATTGCAACGTAAATCCAGCCATCAGGACATGTCTATCGTGGCTGCCCAAGGAGGCCTGCTTTGGCTGCCAGAGCTTCATTCTGCTGAATATGATATTCTTGAAATCTCATGGATATTCTTTGTGTCATTTTTAAATATTTCTGTAAGCAGTGCTCTGAACAGGTAGTCTCTTCTGGTTTTACTTCTCTTGTTGTGAAGTCTTTAACACAATCCAAAAAGCAGGTTTCTGTAAGTTTATTGTAGGTTCCAAGAAATTCCTTAAACTGTTTTATCTGATCAGATTCTGATATTTGTGCAGCCATATTCTTTTGGTATGCTTATTAGTCACTTTGGAAGCTCTGTAAAACTTGTTCAGCACCACAGCGACATGCAACCTTCCGCTGGCTGATGGTGGCTGTGTTTGAAGTGCACTGGAATGGAACCCAGCTTTCCTCTTATGATGCATGAGTTTCTTTTCTTTTCTGGAATAATGGTTGTCCAAGCTTTTCTTGAATGTTTCCAGTGAGGCCTGAGTTCTTACTTAAACACAGGTTCCTGCATCCAACACATACATGAGTCTGCGGGAGCTGAGCTGCCAGGTGTGCCTATGGGCAAGGGCCAGGGTCAGAGGGAGCGCTGCGGCCACTGGAAGGGAAAGAACTAAATTGTTTTTTTAATTTGGGGAAAAACTGAAATCTGAAAGGGTAAGATCAGGGCCGTAGGGTTTATGGGGTAAGGTTTACCAATAAAATTTCTTGGAGGGCAGTCTTAACTATTGTTGAAAAGTGAGCAGTTGCATTATTGTGATGGAAAACATTTTTCTGTATAACTTGCCTGGCCTTTTTGTCATTAATGAAATTTTCAGTGTTCTTAAAATTTCTTCTTGTTAAGTCTCATGACCATCCTGTGTTATTGATACAATAAAATGTGTCAATATTATCCCTTTGGAATCCCAATAAACAGTAGCCAAGGCCTTCTGAAGTGTCCTTTCCACCTTGACTTGTACTGGCCAAGCAGCAGATTCCCTTAGAAGCCACTGCTTTGATTGGCCTTTTCTCTCTGGATCATATTAGTAAGTCCAAGACTCATCTGATTATTATTCCACACAATGATCTTCATTACCTTAGAAAATGCTTAAAAGACTAATGGAAAGATCAAGTATTGGAGCTGTCTTTGTTTTCTTACAAGAATTGTTCATTTATTTCCCAGTTTCTAAAACACAAAATGCATACTGTCTTAGCACTTTGAAAATGTGACCTGCCTGATTTTTATTTTTTTAAGTTTTTATTGTGAATTGAATGATAGTTTACATGGGAGAACATTGGTTTTATACTCATTGTTTCATTGCAACAATTACAATTTCCTCCGTGCATCATCATTCAACAGTATTTGCTTCTGCTTCCACTATTTTTTCTTGTTTTTTTTTTGGGGGGGGAGGGTGGATATACACCAAAACACTTAGGAATAAATAAGCATTTAAACAAGCAAAGGGCACATTCTGCAAACCTGCCTCCTGACTGCCAGCACACAGCCTTTCTCTTTCCATTTTGCATTCATTCTTACAGTCTTTATTATCCCTGATAACAACTAAAAATCACACTGATCAAGTAATTTTCTTAGAAAAAAAACCCCCATAAATTTCTCTCACTGTGTAATTCTTAAGGTCTTTAAATGTTATCTGTGTCTCGATCTTTCCCAAAATGGAGCTGGCTGGGGTCGGGCTCCTGTTGTTTTCTCTTCCCAGCATTCCTTGCTGCCTACTTTTGGTCCCAGGATGCTCCAGTTTCTGTGAGGCACATTGTGCTGTGTGGTTCTTAGGGGCTGTTAATCACAGAAGCCCACTGCCCAACTGGCCTGGCCACACATAGTACCTTTTCCTCCTGGCTACAGTTATTTATTCAGAACGAGACAGCTGACTCAAGCTGGGCCATTCAGAACAATTCATTGGAATCTGATGCAGTAAAACTTGCAAAAAGCTGGAACTGTGTAAGGCAGAAACCTGCCAGAGAAGGAAAACACAAATAAATTCCATTAAAATTCTTTCCGGTGTGGTGCCGTATGATAAACACTGGACTGCACAGTTGGTTTGAACAGCAAGGCCAGTAGTGCAAACTCCCCCGCTGCTCATTGGAAATCCTATACAGGATTGCTATGAGTCAAAACCAATTCGATGGCACTTAACAATAACAACAGAAAGGAGCAACAGCAAAGTGGTAAGACTGAACCCTGTCAAAGGCAGAAAACTTGGGAGGCCCCGGCAAACAAGGCAGTACCTTTGAGTTCCGGCTCTCACAAGTTCTCCTGTATATGAACACAGAGAGAGAAAACCACTCTTTCTCTTTTGATGTTATTAATCTGAAGTTGTCTGCTACTGTAGCCTCCTCCCCTGCATGGAAGACTACCATCAGCCCAAGGAGAGTTCGGTCCCCTACAGAGAAGTGAGGAGTACCAAGTTCTGAGTTCTGCCCTTTTGTCTCAGGCTTTGATCCCCTGAAGTCCATTCTAACCCAGGGCTTTCCAGAGACTGAAGCATCTAACTTCCTTCTACGCCACCTCCAGCCCCTTTCCCTTTCTTTCTTTCTTTAATTTAAAGGAGACCTGGTGTGGCGCTGTTGAATAAAGCACTGGACTCCAAGGTTGGTTTGAATTGCAAAGCCAAGGGTTCAACCTTACCAGCCACTCCTCGCAAACTCTACACAGGGTCTCTATGAGTTGGAGTCGACTGGATGGCACTTAACAACAACAGTTTGAGTTGGGTAAGTAGAGTCCTGACTAAAACAGGCTAAAAGTAGCATTGAGTTTCCAAATTTACCTGCAGACCAGGTTCTCCGGGAATGCCCTTTTCAGATCCATACGACTCTCCAGGCGGCCCCTGCATTAATTAGAGTTAGGTCAAGTTTTACACATTCTCAGATTTGGCTTACATTGATTTCTATCTGTTTGCCCTTTCTGATTATTTAACCCTATTTCAAAATGTTCAAATGGTAATGCATCAAAAGAACACATCTTATTTATAAGTATTTATCTAACAGCAGATGCTTAGAATAAGATATAAGATGGATAATATTGGGTGAATGTAAAACAGTGAACGAATTTGGGGCTAGACATGGTGATTTCATATTTGGTGATCTCTGGGGACAAATATTATGTCTTGACTAATATTAAAACTGAAAGGCAGCCACAACCCCGACACCAAAAGAATCAGATGGTAGCTTGGTTACCACTACTGAGCACGCTGAAAGGGATTACAGTAGAAGGTCCTGGATAGAGTGGGAAGAAAGTGTGAACAAAAATAAAACTCATAAAGAAGACCAGGCTTACTGATCAACTAGAGACTGGCACAATCTGAAAGATTATGGGCTTTACTCATTTTTACACACGAACTGAATCCACCATGGTTCAACTTTCAGGCAAACAACAGGTAGCCCTAGAAGGTGAACAGTAACACCAGGGAGGTCGGCACTCCTTGGAACAACTGGTCATTTGCGATCAAAAGAACAGCATTTGCCCAGGGATGAATCTCAGAAGGCAGGAAGGAATCCAAAGAAGGATGAATGCAAAGGAGAAACCCAGGAGGAAGTGGGAAGAGAGCTCCCACACAGTAGGGATGGAAATCAATGTCACCAAACAAAACCTGCCTGAATTGTTGAGTGGAAATGGAATTTGCTCTAAAAACTTGCACCAAATCACACACACACAAAAAGTGAAAGAAAAAATACAAAAAAGTAGAATATTGAGAACAGTGTGAACTCTGTGTTGAGGGAATGATATAAACTCTAAAATAACCTACTGCAGGTCCTGGGGGTCCGAATCCTCCCATTGCTCCTGTGTCTCCCTTCTCCCCTTTGAGTTCCTGCCAACATAATTCAAGGTCAATTACAAATGCATACAACAAGAATCCTTTTTCCCCTTTTACTTGGAACAGTCCTCTATGTATTTAGTAAAATAGATTCACAAACTATTCACTGATCTCATCTTGACACAACCCAATAGAATGTACCATTTTTCACACTTCAACTTTCATACTCATGAATCTGCTGAAACAATGCATACTTTAAAAATATCTATTTAAAGAAAATGCCTCTGCATCAAATGACATTAAAATGATTTAATTCATGAGTCAGTTTCCTGTAAGCACCATCAGATCACCTGTAGTGTATTTTATTTTCATTTTGAATGTACTAAAATTATTTTCACTGGGACCAATTACTTTTTTAGTAAAAGTTAAAGTGAATATTTGATTCACTATTAGTTTTTATTAAAATTACATTTTTCTTAATGTGAATGTTCTCTTGAGAGCATCATTTTTTCACTTATTTTTTTTCTTGACTCATGTCTCACAGATCTAGATTCCGTCAAGATAAGACTTTTTCCCTCAATTTTTAGTCAGTAACAAAATTTACTGAATGAAATTTTTCCTTTCATTAGTCTTATTTTTGTTGATTGCCTCTGAAAAGTTCTATTCCTTTTCCCTGGTGGAGTCTTTCTTAGTTCTCAATGCGAGATATTACTTAGGTCATATCAAATTTTGACATGTGTGCTTAAGCTCTTATTAATTTTGTTTTGAGCATTAAAAATTAATAATATTGATGGGTGATGGCTAAGGGCTTTCATTTTAGGGTGATGAAAATGATCTAAAATGGAATTCTTTGGGTGACGGTACAACTCTATGAATAGACCAAAAGTCACTGGGTTGCATATTTTAAATGGATGAACTATATGATGTGAGTTGTTATATCTCAAAAAAACTGTTAAGGTATAACTAAAACCAATGAACTGGAGACTCAAGCTGTTATTATAAATAGTTAATTATAAACGTATAAGCAGAGGATGATGTGTGTTTCTTAGTTAATTTACAGAAAATTGTTAGCTACCCTCATCTCTCCCCATTTCTCTCTCCCCCCTACACATATTCAGAATTGCCCTGATGTCCAGGCTTGGTGGATGAACTTCTTCTGAGCATTCAATTCAGTTCTATACCGAGGTCACCTAGCTATTCCAATGGAGGAGCACAGAGTAAATGGTGGCATCAAAACAAGAGGGTTTAGTACCCTTAAGGTGGTCCGTGGGGGTTACAGTGTCCTTGGGGGGTTACAATAAAACCAACCCAAATCATTGCTGTCTTGTCAATTCTGATCACAGTGACCCGAAAGGGCAGATTGCACTGCTCCACAAGATTTCCAAGGCTGTTATCTTTAGGGAAGCAGATGGCTACGTTGTTTTCCTGTGGAGCAGCTGGTGGGTTCGAACTGCTGACCTTCTGGTTGGCAGACAAGCACTTTAGCCACGGCACCACCAGGTAAACATGTCTTGTTTGGTTACGTCATCCTTCCACTCAAATCTTTAGCTTATTGCGGTTCAATTGAATCAGAATCACATCCCGTTTTGTTATCATTGATTCAAAAATGTCCATGGAATTTGTACTGTGCATTGGGGGCAGTTTGAGGAGATGGGGTTAGAAGGTGAGTAAAATCAAACATGGGTTCTGCCCTAAGTTAGCATGAATGTCTCGCTTGTCTCAGATCTTTCTCAGCTCATAAGTGATATATGGATGAGCAATAAAATCCAGAGGCTTGGGCAGCCCTGAGGAGGGCCGAGCTGTGGTGGGCTCAGAGAACAGAGCTTGTAACGGAGATAAGAAATTCTACGGATTTCATCCCAGAAACTGGAAGGTATAACCTTAATAAGAAAACTGAAGAGTTACCGTTCTGTTGTCTGGGCCAGTGAGCGTCACTATAACGGTTCCTGGTGGTCCAGGGGGTCCTGTTAATCCTTTCACACCCTAGAGACAAATATACCCAGGAGTGAAATCGGAACATCATCGTTGGCAGCTTGACTGCATTTGAAAGATCTACTTTTCCCCTTTCGTTCTCATGCAAGAAGACAGAACAAATGGAAACCTGAGGTGCAGCAAGCACATCACTACCAGTGTTGCTACTCTATAAAACACATAGGCTGATGTGTACGGAATTTAAGATATCCTGTCCAGAAATGAACCCACCAAAACACCAAACACACTCTCATTGAGCTGATTCTGACTTAGAACGACAGGATAGAATTGTTTCCTAGGGTCTCCAAGAGTATACATCTTTATGGGAGCTTCATCTTTCTGCTGTGGAGCTGCTAGTTTGAACCACTGACTTGACAGTTATTAGCCCAAAGCTTAACACACGGCACCACTAGAGCTCCTTTAGAAGTGAACAGTAGGACTGAAATTACCCGATCTCCTTTTGGTCCAATCACTTTATCACCCATGTGACCCTGTAAGAAAACACAAAAACAAATTATTTCATTAAAAAAAAAAAAGTTAAACATATTAAACTGCCAAAAATTTTCATATGTTAGTGTTAGAGTCATAGGAGTGATTCAAGCTATTTTTGAGGGGTAGGAATTATCTTTCTTTCAAAAGGTAGAGATTCTGAGGTAGTTGAGCATCACAGATTTACTTAATATTGCAAAAGATGGCAGAGGTATGGATTGGGAAACGATGCTGGCTTTCTCCGGTGCAGCACTAGCTAGCTGTGATTTGTGATGGTCGATTTTATGTCAACCTGGCTAGACTAGGGTGCCCAGTTGTTTGGTCAAACACTACTGTAGTTGCTGCTATAAAGTAATGTTGTTAGGTGCCACGGAGCCTATCTAACAACAGAATAAATATTGTCCATTCCTGCACCATCCTCATACATTCAATTAAACCAGTTAGTCTCCAGTAAAGTAGATCACCTCCCAGAATGTGGGTGGGCTTCAGCCAGTGGACGACCTTATCGGCATGTGCTCTGCTACTAGACTGTAAACAGACCTTTTCCTAGAACTCCCAGACTCCTCAATCTTCTCAGGACCTGACCCATGAATTCTGGACTTGCCAGTCCTCCCCTCAATTTCGTGAGCCAATTCCTTGAAGTGAGCCTCTCTCTCTCTTGCTAAGACCTGGTTCTACCAACAAGGTGTTTTACTTCCTGATGTCCTACATTTTCTTGTTTGAAAAATAAAAGGGATGGGTAACTTAATTTCACAAGTGACATTCCAGGTCTGGAATATACATTTAAAAGAGAGAGAGAGATGCTGAGAATAAACTCCAAGCTACCTGATGTTACCAACTATTTACCCACATACGTTTAATATGAACAGTTGTTGTTTTGTGCCATCGAGTCAATTCTGACTCATAGTGACATAGAAGCGGCAGGTGAGTCTGAACCAGCGACCTAGCAGTTCAAACAGACATTGAGATGGAGTGCTTATCATTGTTGTCTTGTCAATTCTGATCACAGAGACCCGATAGGGCAGACTGAACTGCTTCACAAGATTTCCAAGCCACACTAGGCTTCCTTAATATGAATAGTTTCTCCTAACTACTGTGGCCAATGTATCATTTCAACCAACACTGCTTGGCTTTTGTGTTCTGGAGTCTGCAGATCTTCCCATTACTCTACACGTTTTAGAAAAAGCCCAAGAGGAGAAATCAAAATACTTGAAACTGCCTCTCTACCATTTACTGTCTCTCTAACCTCAGAGAAGTCACTTAACCTGAATCTATCCATCTTATAAGATTTTGTGTGTCTGTGTGTGTGTCAGTGAAAGAATAAACGTGAAAGCATCTTGGGAAATAACCAAAAACCCAGACCTACTGCTGTTGAAGAATTGATGCATTTGAGTTATGGTGTTGGAGGAGAATACTGAAAGTGTCATGGCTGCCAAAAGAACCAACAGATCTGTGTTGGAAGAAGCGCAGCCAGAGTGCTCCTTGGAGGCCAACATGGCCAAACTTCGTCTCTCATACTTCGGACATATTGTCAGGAGGGACCAGTTGCTGGAGAAGGATATCATGTTTGGTAAGGTGGAGGGTCAGAGAAAAAGAGCAAGACCCCCAGTGACACGGATTGGCAAAGTGGCAGCATCAGTGGGCTCGAGCTTGGCAGCAATAGTGAGGTTGGCCCAGGACTGGGCAGTGTTTCGTTCTGTTGTGCATAAGGTCGCTATGAGTTGGTACCGACTCGATGGCACCTAACAATAACTGCTGTTGAGTTGATCCTGACCCATGAGAACCCTAGAGGATGGTGCAGAACTGCCCCATCGGATTTCTAACGATGCAAGTCTTCCTGAAGGCAAACTGCCACATCTTTCTCCCAGGGAGTGTCTGGTACATTTGAACTGCCCACCTTTTAGTTAGCAGCCAAGTACTTTAACCACTGCACCACCACCATTCTTCTACATGAAGACTACCCGCCTGATACTAAGCGATATGTGCTTAGTATAATTCTCTGGAGCGGTTCAGCTTGGCTCAATATTTTTTTACTTAGACTAATATATAATTAGCCTTTCTCATGGAATCACACACAGGACCCTATTTAATAAGCACACAAATAGTCCATTTTTATTTCCTAGCATGAGGTCAGGTTGATATGGGGAGGCAGCTAATGACAGAAATTTATAGGATACAACAGGTGACCGGTAGGATGATCAGAAATGGGAAACGTATGGATTGGAAATCCTTGGCCAGTTCCCTCTTCTGTGTGATGAGCTTCTAGAGTTTAGTTCAGGCTCTTTGTATCAGAGATCACATGACTCAAGTGCAACTACAAGAGCCATTAGAGGTGGGGGTAGGTCAGCACTGGTTCTTTCCCTGTTGGGCCCCTGTGAGCCCCATAAAGGGGCTTGGTATTGACTTCCCTGTGGAGTCATATCAGGTCTAACTGGTATGAAATATGAACAGTAGCTTACCTTAGGTCCTGGAGGTCCCATGGTTCCTGGAAAGCCCTAGAAAGATCCACAAATGACATTTACAGCAGGAAATACACCCAGCCCAAGAGACTCTTAGAATCTTCCAGTTACAGTGAACTTACGAGTTTATTGAGACGGTAGTAATGGGAACGTCATACTTACGAGGAAACCTGGAGGGCCAGGCGGGCCTATGGGTCCAGGAAAACCTGGAGGACCTGTCAAACCCTGTAAATTAAAAGAAATATCCATTTAAATTTATCACCTGAGTGATGTCCATCACATACATGCATGAAGCTATTCCAGTAAAAGCAGAAAAGCATAATGCCTCCCTTGTGAATGGCTGCAGCTACCAACAATAAATGCTAAGAAGTACATGCTTCTTATGTACACAAGTTCCGTTCCTAAATCTATATGTAAGTCAAATTTGTACGTAAGTTGGAACAGTTCAGTACCATTTTAATCTAACACCAGTTATTCAAATGTTTGTCTTACTATATAGTATATTGTTCTTGTTAAGTGCCATTGGTTATAGTGTAATTTTGTACATACAAAAAAATTCAAGAAATACTTCCAGACACACTAAAACATCTTTAATGTTTGTGGTTGTTGTTAAGTGCTGTAGAGTTGCTTCTGACTCATAGCAACCCTGTATAGGATTTCTGAGGCTTTAAATCTCCATCTTTCACCCTTGGAGTGACTGGTGGGCTCAAACCCTGAACTTGTTTACAGTCCAGTGATTATCGAATGGAGTCCCATAACAGTAATAATATTAATATTGTTTCAATGAAAGTTTCAAAGTAGCGCCTGCTTGTTATTACGAAGTACTGTATGAACCTCGGGTATTTTTCATAACTAAAGGTTGCACATAAGTTTGGAGGTTTGTAAACTGGGCTGCCGTGTGTTGTTAGAAATAACGATGCCAGCAACATAGTGTTACCAAAAAACTGACCAAAATAGCTAGTCTACTTTAGAAGTTTCAAACTTTTGCTCTCTTCTCGTCTTTGTCCATGTATGCTCTTATCTTAAGGACTTTGCACTTGCTGTTCCTTCTGCTCAAAATTCTCTTTGCCCAGATATCTGTATGACTTTTTCTCTGCTTTCTTGTCTTAACTCAACTGCCACTTTCTCAATAAGGTCTTTGCTGCTTGCCCAGTGTAAAGATGAAAGCTTCCTTCCAACTCACACACTTCCTCTTCCTGCTTGATTTTTCTTCTTACCATTTGAGTCCTGGTCTAGCACTATAAGATAAGCACTAGACTGCTAATCCCAATGGCAGTGGTTCAAATGCATCAGTTGCTCTCAGAAAACCTATACAGTGTCACTGAATTGGAACCAATTCGACAGCACGTAACAACAAAACAGCAATATACTATATATATATATGTTTCTGGCTCATAGTATCCCGTATAGGGTTTCCAAGAACAACTGATGAATTTGAACTGATGACCTTCCTGTTACCAGTCCATTGCTTATGCTATAGATCACATCAGGGCCGATCTATACATACCACTAGTCTGTCATTTAAGGAGCTCTGGGTAGTGTAGTAGTTATGAGTTGGGCTGTTAACATCAAGGTCAGCAAGTTCAAAACTACCAGTTGTTCCATGGGAGAAAGATGAGGCTTTCTGCACCCATAAAGATTTACAGCCTAGGAAACCCTATGCAGGGTCACTATGAGTCAGAACCGACACCATAGCACATAACCACCACCATCTGTCAGTCTGTCAGTTTGTGGTACTGTGGTGACTTGTGTGTTGTTATGACGCTAGAAGTTATGCCAACAGTATATTTTCCAACAACTGATCCTTCCTCTTTTTATCCAACCCCTGCATACCAAACACCAGTATTTATCAATACATCTTGATTGCATGCTTGATCAGTTTCAGACTGAAGAAGTTGGCAGAATTCTTCAATTTCATCATCACTGACTTTAGTGGTTGGTGTATAAATTTGAATCATAGTGGTATTAACTGGGCTTCCTTGTAGGCGTATGGACATTATCTTATCACTGAGAACATTCTACTCCAGATAGATCTTGGAATGTTCTTTTTGATGATGAATACAACACCGTTCCTCTACAATTTGTCCTTCCCAGCATAATGGTAAGCCATGCAATTGTCAGATTCAAAAAGTCCGTTTCAGCTCATGAATGCCTAGGATATTGATCTTTATGCATCCCATTTCATTTTTGATAACTTATAATTTTTCTAGATTCATACTTGTACATTCCATATTCCAATTGTTAATGTGTGCTTTCTCATTTTGGGTTGTGCTCAATCAGCAAATGAAGGTTCTAAAAGGTTTACTCCATTCGCGTCATCACTGTCAACTCTACTTTGAGGAGGCAGCTCTTCCCCAGTCATATTTTGAGTGCCTTCCAACCTGAGGGGCCAATCTTCTGGCACAATAGCTGACAATATTCTGGTGGTATTCATACAGTCTCAATATTTAATGTTCTGGGGCTATCTGACAGTGCCCAGTGCGATTCATAAGGCTTTCAGTGGCTAAACATTCAGAAGTGGTCCACCTCTCCTTCTTCTTAGTGTGTCTGGAAGCTCTGCTGAAACCTATGCACCGTGGGTGACCTGGATAATATTTAAAACACAGGGACATAGCTTCCAGCATCATAGCAACCTGCAGATGACTGGTGGAGCCTGTTTCCTACTCAGGTTAAACTGAACGAGCATGAGGTTCGGTTGGCATGGATGCTGCACTTCCCTATTTCTCTAGGCCAAGACTGAATGGTCTCAAACCAGTATGCAGCTCTGGATTCAATTTATAAATTAACAAAATCCAGTGTTAACATTCTATTTCGTTTGAAATTGCTTTGAATTTAATTCTGCAGAATCACATAAAAAACAACAGCAACGACATTCTCATCATTAACATTATTCCCAGTCTGTCTTGAAACATAGTAAGTATAAATTTTTGTTACATTAAGAGCCTTCAAGTTGGTTCTGACTCACAGCGACCCTGTATAGGATTTCCAAAGAGCAGGTGTTGGGTTTGAAGTACTGACGTTGCAGTTAAAAGTTCAGTGTTTCTCCTACAGCACCATGCCAGGATTTCATTGTTGTTCATGTTGTTGTTAAGTGCTGCTGAGTCAGTTCTGACTCAAAGTGATCCTGTATACATAGGATTTCCAAGGAGCAGCTGGTGGGTTTGAACTGCCAACCTTGTGGTTTAATGTGACCTTGCAGTCCTGTGCTATATTCTGCAGTGCCACACCAGGACTTCAGGGTTCCATTGTTGTTGTTCAGTGTCATCGAGTCGGTTCCGACCCATATTGACTCTGTATAGGATTTCTAAGGAGCGACTGGTAAGTTTGAACTGCCAACCTTGCAGTTCAAACCAACTCTGCAGTCCAGCACATTAACCCACAGCGTCACACCAGGATTCCATTAGCACTTACTAAAATGTCATGGCATGCAGAATTAGTTACACATACAAGGGAGTTTCAAAGAAATTTGTGGACAAATTCCATTTCATTTAAATTTTTCCACTAATTGTTTGAAGCCCCCTTGAACACACAAGCCATATAAATAACACTATTACATACGTCTTTATAAAACATGGAAACTTTTCTATATTGTTGCCTCAGAAAAATGTATACATATCTAGTTTGTATTCTCTTGAAAAGCTACAGTTTCACCATGACTAAATGTATATTTTAAAGTCTATAATAAAATACGTTTAAGGTAAAACCAAGCTGGTTTTTAAAGTGTTATATTTATTCATTTCATCATTTTCTCAAGCTGTTTAATGAAAAAGCCTTTTTGAATTTTTGATGTATTTTTGCCAGTTTAAGCCTAATAAGTGAAAATATTTTCTGTTGCAGTAGATTTGAAGACTTTCATTAATGTTTTACACCATGTTATAAAGAGCTTATGTGAATACAAGATTGGTAGGCATGTTCTGGAAAACACATCTCAGAAGAAGAAAAAAATAAATCTCTAAATTGGATTTTGTTTTTGAAAGCAGAATTTCATTTGTCAACCCTCTCAATCCTGGTGCCTCTTAGTGGGTGACATTTTCCTGGGAGAAATAATTCTGAACTGAGGTAAAATACACGCAGTCCTGGATGACTAACGTCCAACTTACACACAACTCCTGGTGTGGTGCTGTGGGCTAATGCTCTGGACTGCAGAATCGATTTGAACCACAAGGTTGGGTTCAAGCTTACCAGCTGCTCCTCTGAAACCCTATACACAGAGTCAGTATGGGTCAGAAGTGACGCAACAACACTTGTTCTGACTCACCTACAAATTCCACTTAAAAATTTAAATACTGACAATCCCTGGGTTATGAATGGATCCTGTTTGTAACCTACGGACTGTCTAATTTCTGGTTAATGAACCTCAAAGTCAATATGTGTCGCTTAGATCTACCAGACATCCATCTGAATCACAAATGAAAGCATATACACCAAATATAACTCAATCTCTTCTTATCTATCTGCATTACCTTGTGTGGTTCTGTAGGATCAGCACTGGGCTGCTAACTGCAAAGCTGGCAGTTCAAACCCACCAGTCACTCCTTGGAAACCCAGACAGGGACACTATGAGTTGGAACTGACTCAATGGCATGTACCACCATCAGCAATAACACATTCATATAGCTCAGTAAAGATGCATACATATATATATGTATATATACGCATATAAATACATGCAGATCAGTATAAACATCCATATAGTAAAGCTACTATTCAACACATTGATAACTATATAACTCTATTATTTTTCTATTGTTTAGATTTTAAAGTAGGACTGTTATTTAAAATCAGTTTTTAATTGTATTAAACGTGCAATACAAACCCATTGTTTTTTAAAAATCTACAGATTAATTGGAAACTAACAATTTATTGAAAATGGAAAGTTTGGGAAACTGAAGCAAATGGCCCTTTTCTTTTTAGAGAGAAGATAAGAAAAGACATATATACGCTGCTTAAAGCATTAAATCATCTTTATTAGCACCCTGTAGTTTCTTATAATAAGGGGACTGTGTTAGAATAAAAAAAATGTGGCAGACATGCAAATAGAATAAACCTCATCGTCTATTTAAATTGTTCTTAAGAGAGCAAGAAAAGAAGAGATTGGAGAGAGAGAGGAGACAGAGAAGAGAAGACAAGAGAAGGGATGAGAAGTGAAATCTTCTGAGTGTTGTACCTCGAATCCTGGCATCCCTGGCAGCCCGGGATCCCCTTCTCCATCCATTTCCATATCTTTTCCTTCGGCTGGGGCACCCTTGAAAATGGAGATGCTCATCAAACGTTATCAATGTTATCAAACGTTATCAATGTTGTCAATGTCATCAAATGTTATCAATGCTATCAAACGTTATCAATGTTATCAATGTCATCAAACATTATCAATGCTGCATTTTCAGAACCCCGATGAGTATAATGCTCACTCCAGGCCACGCTGCACACAGGATAAACTGCTTTCCAGGATACACAGTCAGAGAAATCATTCACGATTCTGTAGTTAGATAGATCATGCTGAAGAATTTTTAAGCATTTTCATGTTTTCTAAATTATCAATCCCAGTTAATATGGAAGGAAGAAAGCATAAAATGTTTAAATTATATTAAACAATAATGGGAGGAAGAAAGACACAGGTGTTAGAAGTCACTTCCCAAGGGATCTAATAAATTAGTGACAACTCCAGGTCGAGAATTTGGGCCTTTGAGCATGAGGCCAATTCTGTTCTCCTAGTCGATATTTCTGGTAGCATAGTGGCTATGAATCGGGTTGTGAACTGCAAGGTCAGCAGTTCGAAACTACCAGCTGTTCCATGGGAGAAAGATGAGGCTTTCTGCTCCCGTAAAGATTTACAACCTCGGAAACCATGTAAAGGGTCGCTATGAGTCGGAACTGACTCCACAGCACATAACAACAACAGTGGTTATGAATCGGGCTGCTAAACTCAGGGTCAGCAGTTTGAAACTACCAGCTGTTCTGTGGGAGAAAGATGAGGCTTTCTGCGCCGGTAAAGATTTACAGCTTCAGAAACCCTATACAGGGTCCCTATGAGTCGGAACCTACTCCACGGCACATAACAACAACAAAACAATCCGTATTTCTGTAATGGATGATACAAAACTGTATGCTTTAAGACCCTTCTTTCAAAGATCCAGAAGAAGTTGTTCGGTAGGAATGAAGAACATGTTCCATTTACTATGGGTTCTGAATTCATCTGATTTATAATTACTTGTAGAGCACAGAGGCTCCATACGATAAACACTGGACTGTGAACCACATGGTCCGAGCCCGTCAGACAATCAGTGGGAGAAAGATGAGGCTTTCTGCTACTGTAAAGATACTTTTTAAAAAGCCTTGGAAACCCTCCTCAGGGTCATTATGTGTTGGAACTGCCTCGATGGCACTTAACAACAACAACAACAATAATTACATATACAATAGAAGTCCTCTTCAGTAGGTGGAAGTTTTCAATAATGGTAGTTTATAAATGACTTACCTTTTCTCCTTTCAGACCGCTAGGACCCTAGAAAGAGGAAGTCATGTTAGTAACTAGAAGCGAATCAAATACGCCACACCTTTAGTTTGCCCATTTTTCTGCTATTCAGCCTCCTTCCTCTCCCACAAAATACTTCCCACTGACTCTTAAGTACACACAGTTTCTCCTGTTTAACTAAACAAACAAGTGTCCTCATCTTTTACCCTCTCCTAATTCCCGGTTTGGCACTATATGATAAACACTGCAAACTACAAGGTTGGTGGTTTAAACCCACCAACTGCTCCTTGGAAACTCTATACAGGGTTGCTCTGAGTCAGAATCGACTCAATGGCACTTCACAACAACAAATGCTGCCCTACAGAAACCTGGTTGTGGAGTGGATTCCAAGTTGGGCTGCTAACTGCAAGGTCAGCAGTTTAAATCTACCAGTTGGTCTAAGGGAGAAAGATGAGACTTTCTGCTCCCGCTACGATTTGCAGCCTTGGAAACCCTATCCAGGGTGGCTATGAGTCGGAGCTGACTTGTTGGCACGTAACCACCACCAATACCAACACTGCCCTGAAGAAGACCCGGCTGTTATACTGGATTATTTGTTGGACTGCTAAACTGTAAGGTCAGCAATTTCAATCCACCTGCTGCTTCTTGGAAGAAAGATGAGGCTTTCTGTTCCTATAAAGATTTTACAACCTCGGAAACCCTATACAGGGTTGCTTTGAGACTCGACAACATGCAGAAGCCGCGATGGTATGACACAGTGGGATAGGAATTGCTAGATTGCTAACCACAAGGTCAGCAGTTCAAATGCACCAATCCTCTCTCAAGAACCCTATACAGGCACACTGTGAATCGGAACCAACTCGACAGCACACAACAACGCTGCCTTGAGCTTATTTTCATGCCATTTGCAATTGTCCCATCCTGTTTGTCTGTTGCTGACTCCTCAGTGTATGCCAAACATATTTCCTGTCCCCAGCCCACCACAGAAGTTGTCGTTGTTATGTGCCATGGAGTAGGTTCCAACTCATAGCGACCCTGTATAGGGTTTCCGAGGCTGTAAATCTTTATGGGAGCAGAAACCCTCATCTTTCTCCCGCGGAACAGCTGGTAGTTTTGAACTGCTGACCTTGCAGTTCACAGCCCGATTCGTAACCACTGTGCTACCAGAGCTCCTTGAGATCAGCAATGGCTTTGAGATTGCTAACACCAAAGACAAGTCATCATTTGACTGGTCTTCCCAGCAGTATTAGGCAGCCATGGGCCAATCCTTTCTACTCCATCTATTTCTTTCCTGGGCTTCCATAATAAACCCTCCTGGTTTCCCTCCTACCAGTTGGTCCAATCCTTTCCAGGATCATTCTGCGTGACCTAGGAGTTGCATGTGGGAGTTGTCCAGGTTCAAGTTCTAAATGACTCTCTCCTCACTCTTATTCCTTGAGCCATCACCAGCCCAGATCTCTCCACTGAACAAAGCCACTGACTAGCGCATCTCTACTTGGATGTCTCAATGAGCAGAACAAAGTCTCCAAGTCCAAACCTAAACACATGAGGCATTTATTCATTCATTCTCCAACTAGTAGTTGGATATCAACTATGGGCCTGTCCCCGATGATTCCACGGTCATGATGAATTGGTGTACACGACCATTCTGAAATTGAGTACTTCTGTCTACAGTTTGTGTCTTTAATGGGGAGTTAGAAATGGAAACCTACCGGGCTCCCCGGGTAGCCTGGTGTCCCCAGAAGTCCTGGAAAACCTTGTTCACCCTGGAAAGCAAACAAAGTTTATAATTCTTCTTAGCTGTTCTGGAATAGCATATTCAGATATACTGCTTCCTGTTTCCATCTTCCACACTTGCTGCGGTAAATCCAAATCTTTATGGCCATTGAGTTATGAAGCTGATGGTCAGGAAACCATTATCTTAAATTGAAAACAGAAGCTGAATCCACAGTTTCTCAAATTGAGCACAAATGGCAAAAAACTACTTGTGTCAATAACTTTTTAATTGCTGTTTTCTTGAAACTTGAAGGATTAGTTCATTCACAGCTACCATTGTGGGGAAAACAAGTGTACCATTAGAAAACAGAAGAGGGGCGTGAACATTGAGAAGCTTCCGCATTCTTTCTCAATGACCAGTTTTACACTCTAGGTTTCATGTCTGATTCATATATGAGGGTCTTCGAAAAGTCCACGGATAAAAATGGAATCTAAAGAAAATGGAATTTCCCCACAAACTGAAACTTGCTCATCCACTCACAACATCCGATGGAAATGGCCCTATAAACTTCCATCTAGCTTTCTGTCTGAAAATATAGAAGAACGTCCTTAACGATAGTTAGAAAATAAGGAATATGGACAAAGAAAGCCGGAAAGTGTCTGGTTCAAAAATCCTATTTCTCTCCTGAAAACACATACTTTTGGTTCTGGCAAAATGGGTATGTCAAGGAAAGGGCACCTACATTTCCTTGCTTTATCATTCTAATTTATTTATTCAGCAAAACATCTATTAATCATCCTCTGTGGGAGGAGCAGGTACCTTAGATCCATTGCATCCAGGTAAACCAGGAAGTCCATATGGTCCAGCCTTGCCGGGGATGCCCTGAAAAGGATAGCAACTCTCAAAGAAGAGGCCTAACTATAAGGCCTTAGAACCAGATAGAAACTGGAATTCAAGGGGCAAGAAAACATGGACTAATTTAAATAGTTATTTAGATAGACATGGTTCTTCAAGTAGTTAAGTAGTAAGTTCTCACTATTTGTTCAAATAGTTATGTAAATAATAATCATATCAAACAAAATGGGCCAATTAAAACAAAGAACTGTCAAGTGAGATACGGATATTTAGATAAAACAGATGGAATGAAACGATTTATAAATAGAATCAAGTCTCTTAAAAGGCTGCTTCAAGCTGGAGGAAAAGAGTTGGGGAGGGATGTGTACACAGGCAGTAACTATTTTACTATTCTATACAATAGGGCGAGCACGATGGCTTTATATGATAAGCACTGAACTGTAAACCACAAGGTCCACAGTTCAAGTCCACCAATTGCTCCACAGGAGAACAGTGAGACTGTCTGCTCTCACAGAAGATGTACAGCCTCTGAAACCCTGAACCAGGTTTCTATGAAGCAGAATCAACTCAATGGCACATAACAAAAACACTGTTAACCACTAAAAAGCAGAAACACTATTCTGTTCTGCTCTACTCAACTCCATTCCATCCCACTGTATTCGGCTTGATTTCAGGAGCTATGACTTGGCTCAAAGCCATACAAACCAACACTCTAATATGCGTCGATTAGGTGATTCTGCTTTGCCATTTTTACCATGCAGAATACAGTATCAGTACACGTTTCCTTGTGCCATTGCTTTAACATCCTGATTCATTCTGAGCTTACTTTTCGTTTTTCTAGATGCATTTTTACCCATTACTTACCGGAAGCCCAGGAGGACCTGAAAATCCTGGTAAGCCAGTAATTCCCTAAAGACATAGACAAGAGACGTAGACAAGAAAAGGAATAGGAAACACATGTTAAATGTTCAGCTTTGTGTTGTTAAGAGCCATCAAGTCAGTTCCGGCCCATAGCGACCCTGTATAGGGTTTCCAAGAAATTGGAATTGAATTGCAGACCTTGGTATTCAAACCAACTCTGCAGTCTGGCGTATTACCCTACAGCGCGACACCAGGACTCCAAATGTTCAATTTAGATACACACAATTATTTACCATTCTATAATGCTGGAGTCTTGATGTGGCGCTGTGGGTTAATGCGCTGTACTGCAAAGTCAGTTCAAATACCAAGTTTGGTGGTTCAAGCTCACCAGTTGCTCCTAGGAAACCCTATACAGAGTCGTTATGGGTTGGAGTCAACTTGAGGGCACTTAACAACAACAACACAACTTCCTACTGTAACTAAGTCAGAAATGGCTAAAAAGTTAATTGTAAAACAACACAAGAAAAGTTTGACAAACTTTTGTAAATCTTACACTAATATAACTTGTTATAAAGAGAATCAAGACAATGTTTGGCTTTTAGGGATGGATTTTAAAGGAACAACTTGCACACAGGAATGACTTAACAAATGTTTCTGCCCTGATTAGGATAGAAACATCTTTGCCATCCCAGGAGGCTCCAATAACCACCTACAATGTGGTAACCACTGTCTTGTCTTCACTTCCACCTTGATGGATTTGTTTTACCTGATCGTGAACTTCACAGAAGGATTCAAACATAGTGAACTCTTTTGTGACATTTGCTTAACATTTACAGTGTAGTTATTCTTTTGTAAATTAGGAATTTATCAAACAATCAGGATGAAACAGTCGGAATACTCACCCTGACACCTTTGGTACCTGTAGGCCCTTGGAATCCTGGCGAACCCTGGATTCAAATGAAAACTCAAAAGGTAAACACTGTAACAATTATTTGGCATTACAAAAGTCCCCAAATGCCCGATTCCTTCTCTGTGTGGTGCAGAGTAGAAGAGGGCTCCACAGAGTTTTCTTGGCTGCAATCTTTACAGAAGCAGATCCTGTGGTATCTCTGGATGAGTTTGAAAAACCACCCTTTAAGATACTAGCTAATCCCAAGCCATTTGTACTTCCTTGGGTCATTTGGAATGAAGAAACCCACAATTGAAAGGTCCCAGTCATACACACATGCCAAACGATTTGGCTTTTGTGATAATTTCATTGTTAATAGATTCAATATCTTGAACATTTCAATGGAGTTAAAATATATATCTGAAAGGACACAAAAATTCACTCAAGCCCTTGTTATGGAAAGTGAAGTCTCAGGATCAGCATGCAATACCAGCATTACCTGGGAGCTTGTTAGAAATGCAGAAGCTCCCTATTGGCATGGAATCTGCATATTAAACACAATCCAGTGAGGATTCTGCTGCACATTTAAGCATGAGAAGTACCACTGAAAAAGCTCCACATTAGACAGCCAGCTGCTAAAGTCCCATAGCGACAAGACTACCCCCCTCCCTCCAGATGGGAAGGGCAGCCAGGATTTCTAGCACAAGAAATACTTTATTAAAGGAATGCAACTGACATGCACGTGTAAAGAAACAGTGTAAGGAAACAATCAAGAACAATACCTAAACCAGAGATAAGCTTGCCTCAGGCACAGAACAAATACAGCTTTGAGGTCCTGTCCTTGCAGAATAACCTTAAATGGACACCCTTTTTTACTAGATCAGATGGTTTGAAAGTTTCACTTGCCAAAGGCGGTTTTTATCATTCCAGAGAGTTCCAGCCCTGTTTGGTATTTTTTAATTGTTTGGGAAAAGGGTTTTACAGACTCTTCTGAGATTAGATTAGACTGTCAAGGCCAAAATCAGCATTTCCTGACCCGTTGGAATTCCTGGGTGCAGGGCTCTGCATACCTACTGGTTCCCCTCCCTGTAATTTGCATATTTTAGTTCTTGTTGTACATTTCCTCCTGCAGAAAGAGTTTCAAATCAGGGGAGGAAATTCATCAACTGGAAAAAACCTTTTCAGACAGGTTTGAGTAAATCCATACCTGTAGACATCTGCCTTGACCAAATTGTCTTTGTGGCTATATCTTTGTTGTTGTTAAGTACTTTGGAGTCAGTTGGGACTCATAGTGACCCTGCACAGGGTTTCCCAGGCTGTAAATCTTTACGGGAGCAGAAAGAGTCATCTTTCTCCTGTGGAACAGCTGGTAGTTTTGAACTGCTGACCTTCAGTTAGCAGCCCGATTGTAACCATAGCTACCATATCTGCTTAAGTTACGCTTTATGACATTAACTCCTCACCACCTGGTACATAAATACGTTACTATTTCAAGAACAGTGATTGGTGCACCAAATAATCAATACTAAGAACTGTGTGTTTGCAGCTTTTTTTTTTTTTTTTAATTAATTGCTGATTATCTCTAAAGAAATGCTGGAGGAGAGAAGCAAAAGCTTAAGCAGGGCACAAAGTAGAAAAGATGGAGCAAACATCTGGTTGAACAAAGCCTGGACTGAAGCGGAAAATTCATTTCACCAGTGAAAAACTAAAACCTACTGCCATTGAATCAACTCTGACTCACGGCCACCCCGTGTGTTTCACAGTGAAACCGTACTTATAGGTTTTCCTATAAAGATCACCAGGTCTTTCTTCTGAGGTGCTTCTGAGTGGATTCGAACCACCAACCATTTAATTAGTGGCTCGGTGCTTAACCATTTGTTTCACCCAGGGACTCCTGCTGCCTGTGAAACAGAGGAAAATCTGAAGGCATGTGTGGGCAGAAGGCAATGGAGCATTTGGACAATGCCCAGAATCTGACTTCTCCAGAACTAAGACCAGAGGAAGGAGACTAGAAGAAAGAATGCACACATGACTATGATAGAAATGGAGGAGACAGGATCCCTGGAAAACGGTGAAGTGTTTGTATCTTCAGCTGTAAATTGTACAGGTAAATTTCATTTACTGGGTTGGGAGCCTGAGTCTGATGAAACTAGGTTTGGGCTCTGACTTTGCCACCTATAAGGACAAATGACTTATGTGCTCTTGTTGTTGTATGTGAAGTGCTGTCCAGTCAGTTCCAACTGTATAGGGTTTCTAAGGAGCAGCTGATGGGCTTGAACCACTGACCTTGCTGTTCAAACCGACTTTGCAATCCAGCACATTAACCCACAGTCCCACCCCAGGACTCCTTTGTTTTCTCATCCACAAAGTGGAGACAATACTGGGAGCTTCCAGAATCTAATTTGTGGGATCAAAATGAGCAGTCAATGAGATAGCCAATCCTGTCATGAAATGAGCAGTCAGTGAGATAGCCAATCCTGTCATGAAGTTGACTCCTACTCAAGATGACCCCATGTGTGACATACTAGAACTACATACTGTCTCATACGGCTTTCTTGGCTGTTGCACTATAGGATAAACAATGGACTGCTAACCACAAGGTCGGTGGTTCAAACCCACTAGCTGCTCCTTGAAAACTCCATATAGGGTCTCTATGAGTTGTAACCCACTTGATGACACTGAACAATAGCAACAACTTTTGTAGTTGCGGGTTGCCAGACCTTTCTTACACAGTACGACAGAGTGGGTCCGAGGTCTAGTGCAAACCATTTGTGCCACCAGGGACCTCTCGCTGAGTTACAGATAGGAATAAATGTACCAGTGCCTGGCATAGGAAAAGACACAGTAAATGCTTTCTTTTTTGAGCATTTAAATATTCTAGACATTATTCTAAGACATAGCCTGATACATTACGTATACAATTACAACAGAAAGTCTGTGGAGATCAATTATAATCATCTTCCATAAATTTTAGTTAGCCCATCGCCTGCTGGGGCCAGTAGATGGGGAGTGAATGAGTGAGTGGAGGTGAGTCCAGGACATTAAAGGCTTTATGTTCCCCTGTTGACAGGACAACCTGCAAGTCTATGGCTATGCAGTTATTTACCAACTCCTCTAGTTTATTTGTCTGAACAAAGCCCTTGGTTGTATCACAGACATTAGGAAGCAAAAGCCTACGATGAGTGTGAAGGTCAGATGGCTCTGTGCAGAGCCTTAGGTCCCCTGGTGTTTAGGGATCAGTTGAGAAAGAGGAATTTGGAAAGGGAAGGCTGGGGAGGCCTGGAGGGGACCAGGGAAAGGATGCCAGAAACAAACAGACGCGTGTTTCAAGGATAAGAAAGTGGCCCTTGGTACAAACCCAATACAGACTCAAAGGTACATATAAACATTAGCCATGTGGAGATCATTGATGATCTCTGCAGAGCTATTTTCAGAGGACTATGTGTGAGGAAGGAGCCTTGGAGGCAGAGTGGCTAGGTCTCATCTGCTAGCCAAAAAGTCAGTGGTTTGAACCCACCAGCCGCTCCCTAAGAGAAAGCTGATGGCACTTTGCTTCCATACAGATTACAACCTTGGAAACCCACTCACTATGAGTTGGAATGGACTCAACAGCAAACTGGTTTAGTTTTTGGTTAGTGAAGGATGATGAGAGGGAAGCAAATTATAGCTGAATGAGGAATGAAATGTGCTCATCTTCTAAACTAAAGGTTAGTGCAAACTCAGCCAGGGGCACCTTCTAGAAAGATTACGGTCACGAAAGATCATGAAAACTTTAAAGAGAAGCTCTGCAGCGTAACACATGGCAGGAGGTGGGTTTGAGGCGTGGCTAGAAGGTGCATGTTCAGCTCTTCTTTAAGAAGCTTGATGGACAAAGGAAAGCCCTGGAGGAGGATGGAAATGGGGCGGTGACTGAGGGGAGTGGAGGGCCTAGAAGGAGCTGGATGTAAGTTGGGGAAGCATTTGCATCTTTTAGGGCTCAGAGAGGAAAGCCAACTTTAAAAGAAAGTTAGAGAGAAGAGAGGCTTCCAGGCACAAGGTCCTTTGGGAATCCCAGTGTAGGTCTTGAGTGGACGGCAGAAGAGTTCATTCTTTCAGCTGGAGGGAATGAAGGATGCAGAGATAGAAGATGTGTAGCTGGGCGAGAGGAAGGAACATGAGACAGGACCTGAAGATAGGGTGATGGTTGAGAAGAGTCTTTGAATAAGATGCAGTTCTGAGGGTCAGGCTAAGATCTGAGATCAAGAATTTGTCATGACCTCCACTGGTTGGCAGGGTCCTGGTGCGGCATTGGAGTGCTAACCATAAAGTCGGCAGTTCAAACCCACCAGCTGTTCCTCAGAGATCCAGTACGGTGTCGCTATGAATCAGAACCGACTTGAGGAGCCTTAACAACCACCACCACTGTTTGGCTAGCATGTGGAATTTTTCTCCAGGTAGTCCGCAGCCCAAAGCTAAAAACCAAAGCCACTGATGTCGAGTTGATTCGGACACATGGGAAGCCCATGTGCTCCATGGCAGATCTGAGCACCGTCGGGCTTTCTTGGTTGTGATCTTTAAGGCGGCAGATCCTCAGTCTTTCTTACTGCCTCTTGGAACAAGGAACCACCAACCTTGAGGTTAGTAGTCAAACAACACCATTTGTGACACTCAGGGACAGAGGGAGGCATCAAGAAGGGTTAGTTAGGAGCTTGAGGATTTTTCAAGTTACAGGATGACATACCTTGGGTCCCTGTGGGCCAGGCAAGCCTTCAGGACCTGGGAATCCTTTCTGGCCAGGAGCACCTGGAGGTCCAGGAAATCCCCTTTCCCCCTGTTAAAACCAAGACAAGATCAGAACAGCAACTGTCCATCAACAAATGCAACGGTCACCAGTCACCATCTTTCTTTTCTTTATAACTTGATGACATTGTACATATTTTTTCTTAGATTGAAAAAATATAATTAGTACTCAACAATGAGTGGTCTTGGAAGCTAGAAAGTTACCGTCAGCATCTGCCTGAAGTTGTTTTAGTAACTTTCCCCCAAGTGGTAAAGGCTTCCCAGAGCAGAGACGGAAGAAGGAGGAACCAGGGACTAGGCAGAAAACCCAGTTAGAAAAATCAAGCCTAGTGGAACGTGTAGGGTGGGTCGGTCAAGGGTAAGGTACAAGAATGTGGTTTGAGAGTGGGCATAATTACGACGTAGCTCGAAAAAGACAACAGGTAGGTTTGAGTTTCTCTTATTTCTTGGTGACACAGAAGTTTGGGATGGAATTGGGTGTTTGTGTAGGGCAGGCAGTAAAGATACCAAGAGTGGCATAACCAAAAATGTGAGGACAACTTTTCTGTTAAGAAGGAATCAGATGATACCGGAAAGGCCCCGGTAAGAGTGAGTGAACTGCTATTTAGGCCCCTCAACGGGTGACAGAGTTCAACCAAGCACGACTCTGCCTGTCGTGGGTCTGGAACCTGAAGTCATCTTCTAGTACTAAAGACCACTGGCTGATTCAGTCAGGTTAGGTACACAGTTGGCATGTTAAATAGTAAGAGTAAAAAAAAAAAAAAAAGCCAAGTCAGCTATTGTATATTGTGTGTGTGTGTGTGTAATGGCCTATACCCCTTTCATTACTTACTTATCCTCACACATCCTCTGTTGCTGTTATTTATTCTTGTGAATGCTGCCCACTAGGCTTATGGTGACCTTGCGTCCAACAGGATGAAACGTTGCCTAGTTGTGTGCTGTCTTCACAGTTCTTGTGATGTTTGAGCCCATTGTTCCAGCCACTGTGTCAATCCATCTTGTTGAACATCTTCCTCTTGTTTTCTGACCCTCTAAATTACCTGGTCAGGAGCTCTGGTAGTGTAGTGGTTACGAATCGGGCTGCAAACCTCAAGGTCAGCAGTTCGAAACTACCAGCTGTTCCGCAGGAGAAAGATGAGGCTTTCTACTCCCGTAAAGATTTACAGCTTCGGACACCCTATACAGGGTCGCTATGAGTTGGAACCGACTCCACAGCATGCAACAACAACAATAACAATTTACCTGGTGTGGCGCTGTGGGTTAATGCGCCACACTGCAAAGCCATTTGAACTGCTAGGTTGGCAGTTCAAGCTCACCAGCTGCTCCTTGGAAACCCTATGCAGGGTTGCTATGAGTTAGAGGGACTCCACGGCACTTAACAACAAAACAACAACTACTTTACTGAACATGATGTCTTTCTCCAGAGTCTGATCCTTCCTGATAATATGTCAACAATTTGCAACATCCTTGGCACTGTGGGATAAAGAAAGCACTGGGCTGCATGGTCACTTTGAACCAAGAGGCTGTCGGTTCAAACTCACCAGCTACTTCTTGGAAACCAGATACAGGGTCGCTATGAGTTGAAACGGACTCTATGGCACTTAACAACATCTGCAACAAGAAGCATCCTTTCCTCTCCCCCAAACCCCCAAATCTACTGCCATCAAATCAATTCTGAGTCCCGGTGAACTGTACAGTCCCAGTAGAACTTCTAAGTGTTTCTGAGATGGTGAATATTTATAGGGAGCTCACAACCTCATCTGTCTCCCTTGGAGCAGCTGGTGGGTTTGAACTACCAACCTTGCAGTTAGCAGCCCAATTCTTAACCCACAGTGCTGCCAGGCGTCCTTCATCCTAGAACAGAATCTTGCAAAATATGTACCAGGAACTCAATAATGCTTTTCAAGTGCAAAACATTCCAACTTAGATCTGAATACACTCATTTTATAGTCACAGGCAAAGACCTGCATCAAACCCCACATGAAATACATCGTATTTTAAAAATAAATGCAATGATAATGTTATCATGAGAATGTAACTTCGATGTAAATCATTTTATTAACAGAACTTAAAATGTGTTCTCTAAAAACATTTTAAATTGACTCATTCAGGATTGTTAATTAATTAGTGCCTCTGAAGAGAGGGTTTTGTAAACAAAGGAAACAACCCTTTGTTCTGCCTCTGTGTTAATGATCATTAATTGCAAGTTAATGGATCAAATTAATGAGACAACGCAGCATTCATTGTTTTTCTTCAAGTCTGCAGGGGAGTTGCTTCTACTCCCTTCTGCTGAACTGTAGCCGCAACTGAGATGCTGCTCCACCAGGGGGCGATCGTGCACCAGTGCTGCAGAGAGCTGAAATTCTGTGGGTTTTAATGTTTACTTTATGCCAAAGCTAGCGAATAAAATTGTTTTCCATGTCCTCGTGTGTTTAGCAACATCATAAATAGTGTATACATATGGAAGCATGTTCATAAACGCTTTTTTTTGGCTAACTTGCTACTTACTCTTTATAATTCTAGACAGTTGTTGTTTCACTGCCGGCATTTAAAAACATCGCTACAGCTTTCTACAAGACATTTTCCTTAAGGTGAATGCTTATATTCAATTGCTAGTTGCCACTGAGGAGATTCCAGCTTACGGTAACCCCATTTGTGTCAGAGTAGAACTATGCTCCACAGGGTTTTGAATGGCTGATTTCTCTGAAGTACGAAGGGAAGGGGGGTACTTCAAAAACTCGTGTAAAAAAAAAGAAGGAAAAGATAATGGGATTTTCCCATGAACTTTCTGAAGCCCCGGGTCTTTCTTCCAAGGCATCTTTGCATGGATTCGAACCTCCAAACTCTGGGTTAGCCACTGAGCATGTGAAGACAGGGAATCCAACAATTACAAACATTTACTTTTAAGTTGTCATTGGGGAGTGGAACAACATACTGCCTACTACTGAGGAGACCAGAGTGTAGGCTCTTAACTCAAGGAGCTTCATAGTGAAAAGAAACAGTAAGAAGGTTTGTTTTTACCTTTTCCCCTTTGGTCCTGTCGCAGAAGCACCAGCCTTTGCCTTTACAGAAACAACCCTACAGCAAGGGAAAGAGAGAGAGTTCTGTTTACAAACAACTTTATAAATCCTGCTGTGACCACACCAAAGCAAACTCTGCTTTCAGCAGTGGACACTACTTTAAGGGGTTGGGTAGTGGTGTTACCGTATGTCAGCTGAGGAGAATTGTTTGATGAGTGGACATAATTTTTGTTGTGTTTAGGAATTTTAATGTATTTACCTGTGGGAAAGACAGTCTTTTCACTAAGATAAAATATCATTGAACTGTATGAAATTGTCAGTGTTACAGGTTGAATGTATTCTCGTCTTTCATAGGTTTAACATCATGGACGTGATAAGAGTACAGAAATTTGAGAAATTGGTGATAACTTCTCTCGATGATGCTAAGATTTTCTTTTTCTGAAATCATGCTCAAAACTGAGAAAAGATGTTCACTACCCATTATCACTCTTGAAAGAAAACTAAAAATTAAACCCACTGCCACGGATCAATTTTGACTCATAATGACCACAGGATTTTCAAGACTGGTGTGGTACTGTGGGACGAGCGCAGGACCGCAAGGTTGGTTTGAACCACAAGGTCGGCAGTTCAAACTCACCAGCCACTCCTTGGAAACCCTATACTGACTGGGTCAATATGAGTCAGAACCAACTCGACAGCACTTAACAACAACAAAGTCTTATGTGAGAAGCAGCCAGCTTCATCTTTCTCCCGTGGAGGGGCAGATGGTAGCCCAGTGCCTTACCCAGAGCACCACCAGGGCTCTACTGTCTTTAAAGTTGTTGTTGTTGTTAAGTACCATGGAGTTGGTTCTGACTCATAGTGACTCTGTATAGGGTTTCAGAGGAGCGGCTGGTGAATTTGAACCACTGATCTTGAGGTACAAACAGACTTTCCGGTAATGAAATGTGCCTTTTTGGGGAAACTTTTTGTGAATGGAGTTAAGGTTTACAGAAAAGTTCATCAGCTTTACATTCAACAAATTGTTTCCTTTGTTCCATCTCAATGCGTGTGACCCCCTCCATGTGACAAGAGTCCTCCCACTTCCTCCCTGTGCTTTTGGTCTCTAGTCCACCCTCCTTCCCAACGCTTCTCAACTTTGTCCTTAGGTAAATGTTGCCCTTTTGATCTTGAGTTGCTGACCATTCCACAGCTAGCAAACCTTATTAGTGCTGTTGTCCCCCCCCGATCTTCCTGTCCATGGGCCACAATGGTCAGTTCTGTTCCAAACCCAAAGGATGGTCAATGGTCACAGTCTTAGGTTCCTCCAGTCTCTGTCTGACCAGTAGGGCAGGACTTTAAAAAAAAAAAATTTTTTTAAATGGAATCTTGTTCCACACTTTCTCCTACTCTATTCAATACCTTCTAATGTGATCCTTTTCAATGAAATACTCTTATTAAATAACTACCACCAACAAAATGCTCCACACGTACTCCCAACAGCCTGGATTCAGACTTTTACATTTCAGAACCGTGAGAGAGGAGATGTCTGCTGCTTTTAGCCGTCCACCTAGTGGTGATGTGCTAACCGCAACTCTTGGAAATGAATACAGGTAGTTTAGCTGTTGTTGTTAACTGCTGTCGAGTCGGATCCGACCCATAGCAACCCTGTACAGGGTTTCTGAGGCTGTAAATCTTTACGGGAGCAGAAAGCCTCATCTTTCTCCCACGGAACAGCTGGTAGTTTCGAACTGCTGACCTTGTGGTTTGCAGCCCAGTTCGTAACCACTACGCTACCAGAGTTCCTTAGAACCTGGAAAATCATTCTCGCTTTAATTCTCAGGGACCTTGGCCAGGCGTGGCTTCCCTATGCACCTGCACAATCGGGAGACTGGGGTTTCTGAGTGTGTGCCGGGTTTGCTGATGTGCAGTTACGCCACGTAACTGAGTGAACTGGAAAGCACTGTTCTGTGATGGTCTTAGGAACAAGCGTTGCTTATGGGACCCTCTGCAGACAGCCCAGAGCAGGGCTGTGGGTTCAAGATCTTCATTTCTTTTAACAATGCTGCTTTTCCTGAAATAAATGTTTTCATTTGCAAGTATGTTTTAATATTTCTGCAATTCAGATAAAGAGATGAGGTAACTAGAACATACAGTCTCATTGTGGGGGATTTTGAGACCACCTAACCCTACCCACCGTGGGTTATCCTGCTGGTATCTGACATACTGGTGGCATCACTTGTACCATCACAGCAACATGAAACCCACCATAGCTGGACAAATGGACAAACGGGTGGTGAACGTCACTTATTACAAGGGAGGCATTAGCATCTACCACGTACTGTGCAGTGCTTGATTCTGCATCTTTATGGGGAGCCTGCAGACTAGCAGCACCCCGTAGGACTCAGAGAGCAGAGCAGCCACGCTGGTTTAACCTCTCACTTCAAGTACCATACGTCCGCCTTTCTGACCTTTGCTTCACTTACGGGGATCTAGCCTCCTTACTCTCAGACTTCCCCTCCTGAATCTTCTTCCGAAGTTCCCAAACTTCCGATTCTAAGGGCAATGGTAAGAGATTGAAAAATCATATTTTTAAGCTACAAATGAATTAACTAGATTTATTAATAGAGTCCCTTTGGTATACTGAGATTATTAGTTGATAAGCAAATACAATGAACCCTTTGAAAGCCAGCACGCGACAGAATTCTCTTGTTTTCCCAGGCCTTGCAAGTCTTCCACCTCAGATGGGGTGCAGACTCACTACTTTTCTATTGCTTGTTTGAGTGGGAAATACTTGCATTTTCTTCTTCTGCCAGGTTTCAGTCTTCCACAGGTTCTGACTTTCCTAAGTTTTACTGTATTCTTTCTATATGGGCATTGGCACACACCATTTGTTTTATTTGTCCAATGGTCCCGGCTGTTCCTGTTTGTGGTGTGCCGTCAACTTGGTTCTGACTCAGTGGTTCTCTATAGGGTTTCCAAGGCTGTAGATCATTTTTTCCCTTAAACAGTATGAGAAAAAAATTCTTTTTTTTTCCCCCTTGAGCTGTTTATTGTGAATTGAGAGAGGTTTACAGAGCAGATCCTCAGTTTTACATTCAGTAAATCATCCACTTTGTTTCATTTCAATGAGTGCAATCCCTTCCATGGAACAACAGTTCTCCCACTTCCTCCCTATGCGTCCACCCACCTTCCCAACCCTTCTCACCTTTGTCCTTAGGTCAATAACGCCCTTTTCATCTAGAATAGTTAACCATTCTATGGTGAGCACACCTTACTAGTTTCGTTGTCCCCGCTATATACCTATCTAGTGCTTGACTGAAAATTGGGCCAAGAGGTGAAGGGTGGTTGCGGACCATAATCTCAGTCTCATTCTGACCAGTAAGTCCATTTTTTATTTCCTTTCTCTTGGTTACTGTAGGTTCCCTCTGCTGGTCTGCTTCCAGTTATTGGAGCTGCTGCGTTAATGTGTTAATTTTGGTTATTTCTTCTTTTTGGATGTGTGCATTTATGGCAATAAATTGTCCTCTCAGGACTGCTTTTACCGTGTTCCAAAGATTTTGGTATGTTGTGTTTTCATTCTTGTTTGCTTCTAGGAACTTTGTGAATTCACGTTTAATTTCTTCTTTTATCCAGTCATTTTTCAGCAGGGGTGTTGTCCCGTTTCCATGGAACAACATTGTTTCCTTGGTCTTCTTATTGCTGATTTCTAGTTTTATAGCATTGCGATCTGAGAAGATGCTCTGTAGAATTTTGATGTTTGTAAATTTATGGAGGCTTGCTTTGTGACCTAGCACATGGTCAATTCTGGAAAATGTCCCATGCGTATGGAGAAGAATGTATATTGTGCTATTGTTGGATTGAATGCTATGTATACATCTATGAGGTCAAGTTGGTTGATTGTGTTGTTTAGTTCTTCTGTAACTTTGTTGAGTTTCCTTCTGGTTGTTCTGTCCCTTTTCAAAAGTGGTGCATTAAAATCTCCCACTATAATTGTAGATTTATCTATTTCTTTCTTCAATTCTAGTAAGGTTTGCTTCATGGATCTTGGTGCTCTTTCATTGGGAGCGTATATATTTATTATGGTTATGTCATCTTGCTCAATTGACCCTTTGATCATGAGATAGTGTTCTTCTTTGTTTCTTATGCTGGTTTTTATCTTAAAGTTTACTTTGTCAGAGATTAGTATTGCCACTCCTGCTTGTTTATTGTTGCAGTTAGCTTGGTAAATTTTTTCCCATCCTTTAACTTTTAGTATGTTTTTGTCTTTGTGTGTAAGGTGTGTCTCTTGTAGGCAGCATATTGAAGGGTCTTGTTTTCTTATCCATTCTGCCACTTTCTGTCTCTTCACTGGTGCATTCAATCCATTGACATTCATTGTAATTACCGATGTTGTTGTTGTTGTTAGGTACCATCGAGTTGGCACCAACTCATAGTTACCTTATGCACAGCAGAACAAAACAATGTCTGATCCTGGGCCAACCTCACTACGGTTGCTACACTTGAGTCCATCAATGCTGCCACCTGGCCAAACCATCTCATTGGGGGTCTTCCTCTTTTTCTCTGACCCTCCATCTTACCAAACATGACATCCTTCTCCAGTGACTGTTCCCTCCGGACAATATGCCCAAAGTATGAGAGATGAAGTTTGGCCATCTTGGCCTCTAAGGAACACTTTGGCTGCACTTCTTCCAAAACAGATCTATCGGTTCTTTTGGCAGCCCATGGCACTTTTAATAATCTTGATGTTGTTGTTGTTGTTAAGTGCCTTTGAGTCTGTTCCGACCCATAGCGACCTTGTACAAGGTTTCTGAGGCTGTAAATCTTAATGAGAGCAGAAAGCCTCATCTTAGATATGAGTTATTTGCTGTCATTGTATTACTTTTTTGGTAGTGCTGTTCATTCTTTTGTTCTGCATGCCTTCTTGTGTTGGGTTTGTGTTTTTTGGGCTATTTCTTGACGATTTGTTCTTAGTTTTTGTGTTTGCTTGTTCTGCTTGGAAGTTCATTTTCATGGTAAATTGTGAAGTATTTACATTCTTTGGGGTTACCTTATAGTCTACTAGGTTTTCTCTCCCTT